TTACAGTATAAAGATTGAAATTAAATTCTAAATATTAAAGTTTTTTTTTTGAAAAATCACGTTTTCCCGTTGGCTTTGCAACTGACGGAAAATGTCACAAAAGGTGTTACCATGCAAAAAAAAATGTTTTACTTTTAAAAATTTTACTTAGAACAACAAATATGTTTTAGGATATCAACCTCATGGAATAGAACTTCAGGGCTTTGAACGATTAGAAAATGGTCAGACAACTGGGTACAAAGAATTTGATTACAGTCTTTTGGAAAACAAGACAATATACTCTTCCATTCGCTGTCACAACAATGGAGGATTGTCAAGTTCAAAGTCTTCGAATGGAGTTAAGATATCTAACCGTCCACCTTCCAGTGAGCACGCCACTGTAGACATGATGCCTTTATCTCTGACAGAGTATCCCGGAAAGGACCACTACCAGAGCGTTACAGACAATGTGAGGATACAGTGGAGTGGGTTTGAGGACTATGTAGGAATAGAGCAATACAGGGTATGATAAGTCAATAACACATCGAAACTTGTTATTCGCGAGTTATCTCACAGTAACTATACAATAAATACATGTATATGGCCAAGCTAAAACATCTTATTAATTTGAAATGTCGTAAATTACTCCTTCATCTGAAACCTGTTTTATTCTTTCTCTCTCTTTTAGCTTCCCCCTCCCTTATATAAATGTATTTACTTCTAATAGTATTTTTATTGCCTATCATTGTGTTCCAAAGTAGATAGAAAAAAGCAAAACTATCATATTTTGCAGATCATGTTCCATGGTGATGGCAATAAATTGGAGGAGAAAATGTCGTTTCCCATTGGCCAAGATATTTTAAGTGCGAGCATTACAGGAATGACGATGGAAGAAGGTCTGAAGAATATTACAGTTCAAGCCATTGGGAAACTTCTTATTACGAGCAAAACAGTTCCATATAATATAACAGTTTCCAAAGTAAAGCCAAAGAAAGAACGTAAGTGTTTTTCAAATGGACTTTTAGTAAAGAGGAATCTAAGGGGAGATAAATATTTAATCAATCATTAATTACTTTTGCTTAGATCTTATTATCTATAAATGTTTCAGCCAATGGAAAACTCTTCATTAACTGGCATGCCGGAAAAAAAGAGTTCACAGTCATTTGGAAGGACATGTTTTCTTCTCCCTATCCGTTGTATTTCGAGGTATCTGCGGGCACTGTGGAAGGAGGGAGCGACATTCTTCAGTGGCAGGAGACCACATCCACTTACGTCACGTTTGGTCTTCCTCCCTCAATCACCAGCTGGTCTGGTCTCCATGCTCATATCCTTGTTAGGGCTGTCAGTGCCAGTGGAGTATATGAAGACCTCAAAGGATATATTCAACTTCCAAAATAACACAGTTCTTATTTTTGAAATGTAAACAGAAATGTTTGTCAAACAAATTTGTAGACTAGAGACGTGCCCACACTCTGAAAATTGTAGTTGAATATGCCTTTCATAAAAGAAAAGGCTTGATTATGATGTTTCAGAGGGGAGACTTGTGAAAGTTGTTGTTAATGTTCTTTTTTCCCATTCTTCCGTCCATTGTGTAGTAATATTATAAGTTTGAAGTCTAGTTCAGCTCCGTCCATTATGTTTTAATATTATTATTATAAGTTTGAAGTCTAGTTCATCTTTGTCTTTTTTTCAGAGAGAAGAAATAAACATATTCCAAATGCTTTAAGGTCATACGCAACGTACATTACCTGTTGGTAGTTTTTCAAGAAATTCTTAATTTAAAATGAAGGTCCACTAAGATGTTCTGAGACAAAATATCAAAATGTATTACCAGGGGTTTGGGAAAGATAACATATGATGGAAATTTGGCGTTTGTCTATGCGAAATATACCAAAATTCTCAAACATACTTTTAGATGATATTTCTTCCAATTTTGTTTTTTAGAAGAATACTACAGCGATAGATGATGACATTCTAGAGTTTTCATCATATGAAACCAGCCTTTTTTCTTTGATTTTTTTGAAAAATGTAATTTACATACTTTTTGTACATCTGCCTTACCTCTCTTTGAAGAAAGAAAATGCATTACACCCATACAAACAACAGAAAGCACTGTAAGATGTACATAAATTTATGTTTTCATATTCATGAAATGATTCTGAACAGACAGAATAATTTTGGAATTTCCTGTAACTCTTGGCTTTCCTCCAGTTTTTTCAGACAGCAATGATCTTACCCCATTTTCTTGGTATTAGCATCAACGATATAGAAACTGTTTCTTTCTCTTAATACCCGGTAGTATACAAACCTGATATCATCAATATGCACGTGTTTTTGACCTTTTACCACATTCCCTACGTGACGTCATGCATTTCATTGCACTGTTGGGCAGTTCTTACATATTAAAGTATGTTACCCTACCATGCCTACGTTTCTTTTTCCCTTTCAGTAAGGGAAATGGAAAATATATACAGTGTGATGAATATAAAACAAAGTGGATAGAATTTCAAAGTTATGATATAGTAATACTGGGTAACGAATTAGGAAAAAGCCAATAAAATCAAACATTTCAACGAATCCAAGATATCACGGTAAGAAAAAGTTACCCACTTCATCCCTATTAAATTCACACCTGTTACATGTAATGTAGCTGATTTTTTCTACGGCTAAATTGTTAAATTAATTTACCCCTGTTGCATTTCCGCTAAAATGTCCTTCAGTAAGATAACTGTCTTAATTTCAGTTCAGTGTGTAGTTTTGCATTAGGTCACAACGTATGATGTGAGCTGAGCTCAAGGTAAATAGTACACGCCTCCATACCGCAAGCTGTATGACTGGTAGTTTCTTCTTATCCCTGATTTGTTGCTTGTGCAACAGACTATTTCCGTGTCAATGTTGATAAAATGAATTGACCAATGACACAGCGGGTATTTGAATTGTTTACGTTGGGCGCATTTGTCGAAAAAGATTGTGGCGTATTAAGAAACGGCACACTTCACTGAAACTGATACTAAAATGTGGTTGAAGAAGGGGAATTTATAGCTGCAGAACTGTAGCTCTCTGCTCTAGAAAATTCCGTCAGATAAAGCAGGGGAATTTACAGATAATTGTTTTATTTTTCAAATCTTAGCTTAAGTCAGCCTTCAAGCCATCGACTGCTGAATAATTTGATTTGTTTGAAAATGAGGTATTTCAGCTTGAATATAAAGAAGAATTCACATTTTGCCAGAAAATTTTTATTTTTGTGTCTCCACTAACAACATAACATTTAAAAATATACGTGATAGTTGACATGAGATTGTCATGAAGCAGTGCAATATTGTTCGAATACTGCAGAAACTTTCATTAAAACGATAAAACAAATCGCACCGTGTTGTCCCATATCAACATTCTTATAGAAAAATATCTATAACAAAAAATATGAAATGTAAAAAACATGTGATTGAAATTCACAAATATCACAGTTATTATAACTTGATTGATAGCTTTTATGTTTGGAAAATACACTGTAAAAAAGCATTTACAATGTTTGTGTGCATTAAAACCGATATACCAGGTATAATGTTAAAAATACCACACTCACAGGGACGGACTGAACATGACTAATTCAGACAAGAAAAGGTGGAAAGAAATGATTCCGCGGCTTTTTGAGCTAGGGGAATTAATATATGACTGAAAGTAAAGTCTGAAAAAATTTATACAATTTATTCTGAAGGGTAAAATTACCAGGACATGCTACTAAATTACTGATATAAAATTATGTGTTATCCTAGCAAATTCTGAATGTTGTTTGTTGCCTTCTGTAATCAAATTCTTTATTTAAAGGTAAAATGGACATTATTCTAAAAACAATGCATGAAAATCAATCAAATTGAAAAATGAAAAAATAATAGGATAAAAAACATTTCTATCTCTGTTTAGTTGATGTCCAACATTGTAAATAACTTCCAAAAACTATTTGTATCACTTTGGATTTTTTTTTTTTTTTTTTTTTGATATCCTTCGAGTCACCAGGAAGGTCACTAGCAGAAGAAAATAAAAGTTGCATGTGTTTTTCTACAATTTTGGCCAATCAGAAAGATAGGAATATAAGTATCAATCATATAACAAAAAACGTATATTGCAGTGTTTGAGATTAATACAATTATTTAGTCTCCTTTGAATCACGGTTTTCACCTTTCACTTTGAACTTAATAAAAATTATTCTTCTGGGGTAGCTAATAATTGACCTCAAAAACACAGCTTTTTTATAATGCGCATTATAAAGACGAACACATCATCATGGCATGCTCTTGTACAAAAGAGATGAGACTTTCCTGATTCAATTGATTCAAAATATGCAGAGCTTTTTAAAAAAAAAATGATGCCAAATGACAGCAACGCTCACCTGAGGTACTAATGCCATAAATAATTGTGTGTCTCTCACCAATCAAGGTTCAACAAATAAATTAGGTTTATTAACAATTTGTAGATTGCTGTCCTTGAAAAAAAATATATATAAAAAAATATTTCTTGCTAAAATCTTTACCCTGTTTTTATCTTACAACCATTCTCATTTTTGAGAAGAAAAATTTGTAAAACATTCTTGTATTTTTTCATATAATGCTTTAGCTCAGCACAATATACCTGCCTCATTTTATTATTAAGGTATTTGAATATGTATGATCTCATAATAAAGTACGTTTTTTATGTTGAATATTTTTGGTCAAGAAGTCCATTTATAAATGTCACAAAATTTAATGCATACACTTTGCTGAAAAAAATCAATGCAACGTTTAACCTCATAGAGCTAAAAGCAACATCAGCATCAACAGCACAACAAATTCAGAGAAAATAAAATCTTGTGTAAATAAACTTGCCAAGCACAAATGACAACTTTTTACATATTTAAAAATAGATTTATTATTTAATTCTGTCCCACAATAGCATTAATTTCTATCAAATTTAATCAACATCAAATAAAATAAGACTTTATCAAATAACATAACATAAAAATTTTAAGTGTCATTATTTCCAATAAAGTTTTAGACATTTTTTTTTTTTGCATATATCTTGAAACCAACAGGTATAAATGTTTTAGAATTCTATTGAAATTTAGTGATTAGTTTTATCAGACATGTGAGAGAGAATTGTCTTTATTTCGCACTACTACATGTATCTGTGACGTATAAATATTCAAGATGTATAAATTGACTCTGAAAATGTACTACATCATTTTGTTATTGACACTTAGGTAAGCAAGCAAAAAAAAATAAATTCACAAAAATAAAGGATATCTCTTTCTGAACTTGTGGTCATGTAAAATCCCTGTAGAGACTTGGATTTTGTTGCAGTGGCAATATACTAGCATTCGAAGCAGACAGTTTGGAAGTGTGATTTATTTGAATCCTCATTTTCCTCTATTTCTGACATAATACAAAAAAGCGATGTTCTTGGTACCGCGGGACAGACTTTGTGCACAATTTTATCACAATCTTTTTGAAGATATAATTCTATGGGTACTTATAAAAAATTCTTAACTCTTAGAATCATAGTAAGCTGTGTGTCAGCACTCCATGTGGCATTGATTTCCTGGACTTACTGGATTTCACAGAACTTATGGACTTGTTACTTGTGGCACTATCAAGTCGTTTCCGTCGAGGTGAAAACCAGGGAGTAGTTGTTCTTGTGGACCTGCCTGTTTCTGGCTGATTGTTAGAAATACCAGTAACATAGCTAGGTTCCCTGGTCTGTTGATTGTCTTTTATCACTTTAATAACTTCATCAGTTATAAACTGATGGACAATGACATTGAAATGTTCAGGGGCCTCCATCATCACCATGTGACCAGTCTCTTCTACAATCTCCAGCTTACAGTTGACAATAACCTTTTGAAAGATTTATGAGGAAAAGGTGATCAACTCTTTGGTAAATTAGGTTAAGACTGAGATTAAAAAAAAATGACACTGATTTTCTCTATAAATCTTAATTTCATGAAATAAATATTCTTTACATGTTGTTTATTAAAATCAACATAACAGAGCCTAAATAATCCTGTTCTGTATTTGAGGGTTGATGATAAATTTAAGTCATTCCCTTATTAAACATAATTAAGTCATGTATATTGTGTATTAAAATACACACAATTTTTTTTTAAATGTATTTTGAATTTGATCCTATAATAGCAGAATGATTGATATGGATATGTTAGAAAAAGAATAATCAGATTACCTTATTCATAGCCTCTTCTTCTTCTAGTGACACAAACTTGTCATGCCTGCCCCAGATAAGTAATGTAGGCATACTAATACAGCTGTGATATAAGTCATCTCCATCTAACCACCATTGTCCATTCATAATATAATCCAACACATAAGCAGGAATGTCGAACGCTTTCGTTTTTTCAACTAACAATTTTGAATTGTCATAGAAAGCACCTCTGCAAAATAACATTAAGTTTAGCTGGCTTACTTTATATATGTCGGAAAATTGTTGCAGGGATAACTTTTGCAATTTTTAGATTAAACTGATTAAACTAATTATTTTCAATTTAGGATGAATTCTGTAAGAAAATTTTTTACACGTGAATATAATAAATATGTATGGTAAATAATTTCATTCTATTGAATCTCTAGTGGAGATTAACTTGTATTTTCTCTTAGACAATACAAATTCAAAAAGAAACCACTTCAACGTGGATGGTAAATTAACTGTCCATCTGCTGAATATTACTTTTAAAAGTGAACTGAAATCTCATAATAATATTTCTTGTTTATATGAAATAAATAGTTCATATTTACCTTGTAAACAGACATGATATGCATGGCTTGATGCATGCCAGAATGCAACTTGGCAAGGAGAAAACCCCAGGCTGAGGGGCAAGGGGAACAGGTCCTCCTCCACTGACCAAAATCAGCTTGGTGACTCGTTTTGCTCTCTGTCTAGCTAAAACAGTTGCAAAAGCACAACTGTTTCACAATTGAAAAGAAAATTTCATCAGAATTAGAACCCTGTCATACAGTGAAGAGCATTGAAGTGATAAAATTTTCCGTTTGGCTGGAACGTTTTGAGCTATCTTCAGACACGCCCATTTCTTTAGAAAGGAAAATTTGGTCAAATGATTCAATCGAATACCTGTAGAACAGGTATGCCATAAATATAATAGCCAATGAAATTGACGGTCTACATAAACACCAAGTAAGCACGTGTTTGACTGGTACATGTGCTATGCTAATTAAATAAACATGTTAAATTCATTAATTATGTACAAATTCGATGCAATGTGTGGTTTACATAAGCAGGAACTCTATATATAGCTCTTTCTAAATTAAAAAAAAGTCATTTCATTGTAACTCATGTTGCTTGTCGCGGAAAGTGTAGTGTCCTAAAAACATTATGATGAAAGTGTCCTAAAAACATTACGATGAATATTGCTTTCTCGTTTCACACTGGAAAATTTTAGAAATGGGCATGTCGTTATGTTATAATTGACGTTCAAAACATGACTCAGAACGTTTCACTCAAATGGAAAATTTTACCACTTCAATGCCCTTCATTGTATCATGAGTGAACATGTATGCATCAAAGGAACATAAAAAAGAAACCAACTTAGAACTAAATGACATTGTATCATGCTTTTTCAACTGATTAAATCTACTCACCCATATGAATGGCCTATGATGATATTACTTCTTTTACAATATATATCAAACATGGCCTCCATGTCTCGTAAAATTTCCCTGAAATGGTAGCTCTTCTTGTTATCTGGAGCACAGCTTAGTCCGTGTCCAACCATATCTGGACAAACAATTTCATATCCTAATTTAGCGAAGAAGTCCATCTGAGGTTTCCATATGTCTGAGCAGCCTCCCACTCCATGAATGAAGAAAAGCACTACTCCAGGGTCTTGCTTGATTCCATTACCCTTTGTACTCCCTGCACCATTCCTTTTCACAATTTCAGATGCAGCACTCTTCATAGACCGGCTGGTTGCTAAAGAAAGTTCATCCTTTTCCTCTATTTCAGACATAAATGCATCCTCATCACCTTTTGGGTTCAAAGAAACCTCTACATTTGAAGAGGACATAATAGTTTGACCACCAACAGAATCCCTAGAAATTGAAGTTCTTGATGGACCAGAATTAGATGAAAAAGGGTGTGCATTAAAAGATGTAGGTCTACTTGCAATCACCTTTTCTTCCTGACTTTTTGCCATGTTTGGATGAATTGCATCAAACTGATCCTTCTGCGAATCTGATTTTGTAATGTCACTAGAGGTTTTTTTCTGGTTGATATTAGATTTGACTTTCCCATAATTTGTGTACGATACATTATGATTTCTTAAATATACATGTAACTGAAAGAAAGAAAATAATACTAAATAATAATTACTTGATAATAATAAAATCACATTTTCTTAAATATACGTAATTGTAACTGTATAAAAGTATTCCTTAAGATTATATAGAGCAATAGCCACAATGAAAATCATTAATGTACTATGTGTGCGAAAATTTAGTGATCTACAGTATTCATTAATGTATATGTTGCTTTCCTTATTTAAAAAAAAAGTGAAAACTTCAAAACATCAATTCCTTGTCTTACCTGCTGTTCTTGTTCCAGTGCATTGTCTCTTGGTCTAGCATTCAGATGCTGGATTCTTAGATACCTCTTTGGTCTGAGTTCCACAATATCATCATTCTCTGGTCCTGGACCTATTTTTCTTGACCTTCCTGACTGACAACATCTGCTCATAGCTTTGCATACTGCTATTTTCCAAACTGTAAATTAAAAAAACATGTATTGAAACTCGTTTTTTTTTTTAATTATCTCCCCTTGGAATAGGGTGTGGCCCTTCATTTGAACAAACTTGAATCCTCTTCACCCAAGATCGATACTATGTACCAAGTTTGGTTGAACTTTGCCCCGTAGTTCCTGGGAAGAAGATGAAAATGTGAAAAGTTTACAATGCCAACAGACAAATATTGATCAGGAAAGCTCATTTGAGCCTTCGGCACAGGTGAGCTAATTATAGATCGCAGAACCCGGTTCCTGTCCTCAAGCACCTGTGCAAAAGAATTTATACACTTGGTACCCGCCCAAAACCCCACCCAAATCCCAATATAAAGTGCTTGTGTAATATATTCAGAACTTCGATATTACACTTAATCAAATGAAAACACTGATGTTTTTGCAATCAGGCTGACGACTTTAAAATTGCAGCAAAATTTTTGACAAAACAGATTATAATGGATTATTGCTTTTAATGTGCATAACAAGTAAAGAATGACTGAGTTTTATGTTTCTTTTTTAAATTGATTAATTCAAGATCAAAACAATTCGACAACAAAAAGCTGATAAAAGGAAAATACCATAATTAAAAGAAAATGATGAACATATCCCGCAACCAAGGAAAACAAATGAAACCGGAAGAGATGCCGGAACTCATTAAATTGTTCCAAAATTATTCGACTGGTTATCATTCTAATTTAAAATACAAATATATTACATTGTATTTATAAAACACACAAAATGTGCTTTTATTGTTTTTCTTGATATTATCTTGGTGATAAAAATCGATTGAAATAAACAGATAGCACTTTCATATTTCCAGGTTATGAAAATGACCGAGGGACTACGATTGCAGATATACATTGTAGAGAAAATGCTGGCGAGTATGCAATTTCTTCAAACCGTTAGGTAAAAAAAATATTTTAAGATAAATACTTATCAATACATACTTAGTAGATCTATGTTGTGGTAGGTAAAAATTTCTACATGATCAAAAGTTTAGTGAAGTACTTTAGTAACATTTAATTTTACATTGTGTAGCTCCACATTGTTTTAACTCGAGTTTCCTCATCAGATAACGGATTGTGATTTAGAGGCCCGCACAATTTGCATTTGAAATATGATTTAGTATATTTGTTTGACAGATTTTCATCACATATTGTCAGGATGTATTATTCTTTGAGGTTTTGTTACTTAAATGTTGATAAGGCCAGCATTTTTTTTATTTTTAGGTTTACGAACATCAGAATGAAAAAGTCCCGTAGGAGGAGGAAATAAAAAAAAAAAAATAAAATTATATTTTGGATTTCTTATCGACTTTTCTACATTAAAATTTGCTTCTTTTTTGATGCTCTCCTAACAGGCTCCTTGCTATTGGACACATAAGGGTTACAAAGGGGAAAATACAACCTTTAATTGTTTATTTCATCATCTACCAGTTGGGGGCAGTGATATAAATCTTTTGATTTTGGACAAAATACAGATTTTTTTTTAAATCAATTTTTTAAATCTCTTTTAATATATCTTCATTTTTGTTTTTAATGTGTGTTAGGTAGAAATTATTCTAAAATATTAATATACTTGAGACCTATAAAAGTAATAATTCCTTTCATAAAACAGAAATATAAATTTGAGGAGTAGGGTGGAATTTTTTTCAATTAAGTGTAAAATAATTTTTCTGGCTACCATAAACGATACTACACGCCTGTATATATTTGTATATTCTTGTTTTTAAATAGTTGAAATATTTTATTTCTTTAGGCTATTGTTTATTTCTTCCTCAAATGGACTTAACTTCTCCCATAGTTTTATTCATTACATCTGATGCATAAGCGACCCTTTTCTGAAGAATGATGCTAAGATTGTAAGCTATGACAGAAACCTAAACAATGTCTCTGATAATAGCTACCATGGGCAGTTTTAAACCTGTGGGAGGAAAATAATTTACAATTACAGACAGTTACTTTTGAATACGGATACATAATTATCTCACCAACATGTCACTTTGCAACAAAGTCGTCAGCATTTTATTGTTCTCTGAACGGGTGAAACGTTTTGAATGGCACTCCTATCAATAAATATTTACATTAAACCAAGCTTTAGTGCTGCTATGGACTTGACACAAATCTCCCTTCATTACCCGCCATGTTCATTTAAAACCGGAAGTACGAGCTAAATTTGAAATCTAGATCCTGACTCAAATTTGACATCGGAAAGAAAAAATTCTGTTTTTCTCAATTTTATTTTTTTTCTGAAAATTCAAAATTTGAGCGGCGGGTTTGTAAACCTAAAAATAAAAAAATGCTGGCCTAAACTTGTTTTTTTTTTCTTGCAGGAATGCCCTTTCAGCATGCAGAAATACTCTGAATACTGGAGTAAAACATGTAGCCATTCTTGATTTTCAAAGTCGTCATATGCAATCTTTATCATCGAGTTTAATGGGATTTCAAAGAAGAAACAACAGTTTTTATGTTGGGCAGAACAATTTACTGACTGTACCATTCACTACTTCTTTAAACCAGGTGCGATTTCTAAAACAACCACAAAATCCAAGGAAGAAACTAAGATATCCATACTACAAATATAAATTTAGTGGCTGGAAAAGAATTCACAAGTTTGGACTTGAAGCAAGGCTGTCCAGTATTTCACAGAAAGAAATTCTATGGAGAAGAATAATCAAAGGAAGATCAACTCTTACAGTCTGTGATCGACTGTTTGATCATAGTAATCGGGCAGTCCCAAACAGACTAAAGGGCAACTTGATGAAAGTGGGAAAGAAGAATAACTATCCACTGTATTCTTATAAACCTCCTGTGTACAAATTTAGAGATTAAATAAAATGTAATGATCAGTTGTTTAAATTACATGTTTATAGATGATAAGTCACAACTAAATGTTGCACATTCTCTATCCAAAGTTGTCTGCTGCTACGCTACTATCTGTATGTGAGGGCGTAGCGGCAACAACTCTGGATAGAAAATGAAAGTGGAGAAAGAATTTAAACACTTTTCTTGTATTGTGACATGACCCGGCGAGTTTTCCTTTGAAGTCAAGCATACTGTAACTGCGATACAGAACACTTTTTGTGGGCGTTTCTTATGCAAATGAGCAGAAACTGTACTGTATCTGCAAAATATCCGATACAGTACGGTTTATTTTTAGCGATGACGGAAAGCTGTATCCGTATACAGAAAAAAATCGTGAAATTCGCCATAGAACTGTTCGTATTTATCAAAAATTTAGGTGAATTAAAAATAAAATTTTACAACGTAAAGGTATTAATGTCGGATTCAAAAATGAAGGAGGGAGTGGGGCAGTTCACAAATTATTACTATGAACCCCCCCCCCCCCCCCCCTAAAAAAACCAAAACAAAACAAAACAAAAAAAAAAACAACGGAAAATCGTATTCCGTGGGGGTAGATTTATACTATCAATACACCTATGTGCGTCATTTTTACTTGTTGATGAATTAAAAACCGTATGTATACAAGTTTGAAAAAAAATTAAGAAAGCGAAAAAGAAAAAAAATGAAAATGGGGCAATGTGTTGTATCCCCGTTTGGTTACACTACATTTTAATGAAAACGTTTAAAATCCCACCCCCTTTCCTTTTAATCTGCTTATTTCAATTTTGTGTATGACGAGGACAGTCGGACATTTCTCTCAGAAAAATACTCCCGAAGCATATATACATGATTCTTATATATCAAAATGTTTTGCATTAAATCGTAGCTTAAACTGAAAAAAAATGTCATCAAAAGATCAGCAAGAGCTGCATAGAGAAAAAAAAAACCCTGCACAATCAAATCTAAATAAAAATTTTTGGAAAACAAATTAATTTATGCATCTCTTTAATTTTAAAATGAATATACCTGCACGTCCATCTCGCTGCTGCATTTCAGTTGAAACAAAATGGGATTAATCAACTTTCTGCAAAACACATGAAAGTGTAATGAAAAAATACGCATGTAAATTAGGTCCTTAGAAAGGTCATGTATAAAACTCGTTGTAATAACAGAACAATAAAGCAAAACCTGCAATCAAGAATTCTAAATAATACATATAATTTAGCATATATGAATATAATACATAATAATAAAAAAAAAACTAAATGTATTGTGAGCACTAAGGTCACTAATTGATACACCCTGCCTCCCATGTCAATGTTTTGCTCTGGGAAACCCGAAATAAGTGTCAAACCAAGAAGTAAAATAAGAAGTCACACTGGCATTATGTAACAAAAAAACTTTGAAAATTTCATGAAATTTTATTCAGTGGTATAGGAGGAGTTGTGTATAAGAATATTATAGAAAAAATGGCAGTGTCTATGTTTTGCTATGGGAAACCCAAAATATGTATAGGCTCAAAAAGTAAAATAAGAGGTGCATAATAGCAATTTGTAACAAAGATTCTGTGAAAATCTCATTTAATTAACGAGGAGTTGCATATAGAGACGGGTACCCCAAAGCGTAGAAGGCGGACGAAGATCCCGATCACTATATACCCTCCCTTTTTTTAAGCGGGGGTATAATAATAAACAGTGAGAAAATGTTCTCAAAGTAGAAATAATAAATCAATGCCCCATGTGACCTATATACTAAGTAAGTTTGGATCAATGACCATGTTTAAGATATCAAAGGAAGTCCCTTTCCAAATTCTAATGTATACTAGTACGCTGTTAGTCCTTCTGCATCAAACTTGCGAAGACGAAACATCAAGAGATACTTTGTTTTAACACACTTTGAAAATTAAGCACTTTTTTAAAAATATGCAAAGTGCGTTAACTTTACGCATGCAGAAATCCGAACATTGTATCAGTATATGTATAACTGTACATTTATATATAGATTTTGAGACTTATGTTAATTTAATGTTAACGTGTTATAAACAATGGAATTTGATATACATGTATATAAACAAGTGCACATATCGTTTACAAAATCACTTACGTATACATGTATATAAAGGTACTGCAACATTAGTATAAGGGTTTTTGTTTGGGGCATTTCAGCGCAACAGGAACTGAGATGGCAAAGTATTCTGTAGAACTGCTTTATTTATGTACAGCTTTGGTATTCACCTTATGGAGAGTAGAAGGTATCTCATTAACTTCTGTGTTGAAAAAACCAACAACGCGAATTCAGCTTGAATATGGGGATTTTGAACACCTTGTGGGATTGAAAAAGGGTGAGCTTTGTAAATAGTATAAAGAGTTTTTACAGATACAGATAGACCAGACGAAATAATGTGTAAACATTATTTAACGACTTCTTAATTCATAATTCGTAATTCATGTTCAAATCCATCATACACTGGGTTTTGTAATGTCCCGGTTTGAAATGACTATAGTTGGACCACATAGCATCGTTTTTGACAAATTGGACGGGGGGCTATTCCATCGTCATAATTTTTTCATTTACATTACTTTGAAAAAGTTGTATAAAAAGGGGGGTGCCATAAAATAGTTTCGGAAAGCTCCGAGTACAAAAATTCTTTCTCGAAAAAATCATATTTCAGGGTTTTCGTGTGTGTGTGTGTGCAAAGTCTTTGGGGGGGGGTCCTCGATCATGGCCATGCTGACATTTACGACAACGCTAGAGCGAAAGTTCAATACCACACTTGATTTCTCTGAAATTATTTTAAAAATTAAACCTACAAGACTACATTTTCCTAATATCACAAAAAGTTGAGCTGATTTGGGACATCAGCAATTTTTAAAATTCACACCTTTCAGTGACATAAACATTTCCTACAATATAAGTAATGTTGGTTTTATTTAATTTCAAGCTACATGTAATGTTGTGACATGACCCGGCGAGTTTTCCTTTGAAGTCAAGCATACTGTAACTGCGATACAGAACACTTTTTGTGGGCCATCTAGCAACTAAATCATATGACAAATTGGACGCCTTTTGCTATTCCATCGTCATACGTTCAATTCCATAGAACTGTTATATTTATATATATCGAATTAAAAATAAAATTTTCAACATAAAGGTATTATTGTCGATTTGTCAAAATAAGGTCCTGGCAAAAAAAAAAAACAACAACAAAAAAGAAAATTGAGATACAATTAAAAACCGTATGGTTTTCGAAAAAGAAACTTGTTTACAGTCAGCATGTTGCAAAGTCTTTAATCGTTATAATGACCTCAGAATAATTCGTCCTCGACAATGCCCATGGCCATGCTGACATTTACGACAACGCTAGAGCGAAAGTTGAAGACCGACACACCCTTGATTTGATCTGGTTTGTTCAAAGATTGAGAACAAATACTATGTTAAAAATATGAATTTGATGCTGAAAAGAAAAGAGCCCGAAAAAAAAAGGTGCGCAATCAAATCTAAATAAAATTTTTGGAAAACAAACGATACCAAGAATTTTAAGCTGATTTGATTCATATTCACTCGGCATTTACATGACATTGATCAACGATTTTTAAAATTCATACTCGTGATCTGACAGTGACATAAACATAATATTCCCGTCTGTCAGTCCTGTTTGTGGCCAATTTGGTTTTATTTAATTTCAAGCTACATGTAATAATAATTTTGCTAAAACAGACTAGAAGTAACTTTTAATTTTTCTTGTTTTACAATAGCCTTAATTTAGCCTGGTTAACTTTTTCTTGAAATTGTTCTCGTCCAATTAAAACACAGGAAATTGTCATGTAAATTTTGGATTTACCGAGTGGCAGTAAATACAAAATGTTGTCAATTTTGTATTTACTACCAAAGTTTACAACATGGCAGAATCAGTAAATAAAATTAAGATTGGAATTATACATGTGAATGTTAACGATATTCTCGATGATGAGCAAATGCCAATGCACCTCTTTTAATGAAAATTTATAACTACTTGGGATCTGTATGGTAAATAAATAAAACACATGGCTACTACATTCAGATTATTTTACTATAAATAGTATCATTTTGAAATATACATTCTACTTTTCATCAAATGCAAAATTTTGAAATAAGCAAGCATTCGAAGAGTATAGGCCTTTTGTTTAAATTTAGAATTTTTTCACCCAGGTTCTTCAAGAGGCAATACAGTGGCATTTTCAGCTCAACTTCCAGGCAACCTAAAAAATGTCAAACCGTTTGAAACGATCAAGTACAGTTCCGTTACACTCAACCCCGGAAATCACTACAACGGGAAGACGGGGGTCTTTACAGCGCCATCTCCTGGCATTTATTATTTTTCGTGGACAATCTTAGCCTCAGCAAAACAACCATTCAATACTGCAATTGTGGTCAACGATTCAAAAAGGTGGAAAGCTTACAATTACTGCAATCCAAGTCCCTTACGTCAGCAAATGTGTTCCAAATCTGTCCTCGTCCAACTGTCAACTGCGGATCAAGTATGGATTGTGGCCTACCAAATGTCTGTCGAGAGTGCTCATGGTGGCACTTGGCCACAATTTTCTGGATTCAAATTAGCCTAGCATAATATATGTGTATTTTAAGAATGCTATACATTTATATTTCACATAAAACAAATTGAAAGTCTGGCAAAGAGGTTATTGTCTTCAGCTACAGAGTGCTTATTTCGGCATACCTGCAAAACTGTAGCTCTCCGAAAAAAATATAAATATTGACAGACCGGAGAGCTACAGTGCCACCCATTGTAAAAACTGTATATTTATTACGCACAAAAAGTGTGTCGTTTCTCGATTTATATCTCCATATTTTTAAGCCATCATCTCAAAATGGTATCGTGCAGATGTCAACTACGAGAATACTGGATAGAGGAGTAAGGAATTTTTTGAAATCTGTCTTTTTTCGATTGAGGTAAGAATTTGGAAGAATTAATCCAAAATTTAGCGCAACTTTTTGTGCGCAATAAATATACAGTTTTTACATGTACAATGGATGGCACTGTATAGCTCTCCGGTCTGTCAATATATTTTTTCCGGTGAGCTACAGTTCTGCAGCTAATTTCAGCAAACACTCTCTGGTCGTCCATTCCAATTGGTTTCAGACCAGCGAGCTACAGATATGCAGTTATGATTAGGAAGCCTGCAACACCCCCCTGGAATTTACGGAGTTACATGTATCAAATTTCTATATAAAAGAAACAAAAAGGACTAGATAGGTTAAGACCCCTTTTTGGCCCCTGATTTGGGGTGTCTTTTAGAATGATGCTACAGTTTATAATTAAAAACCTGATGTCATACCCATATCAAAAGATATTGACTTTTAGATTTAATATGTTTAACAGTGTTTATAAGAGAATTAAAAAAAACTGCATTGTCTAATTATGGAATTGGTGTAAATTTCGTGACCTTTGTAGCATTACGGTCACCCAGTCTCCTAACAAACATTTACACATACCTGTGTCGCAAAACCAACATTAACCTTTCTACACAAATTTGAGCTGTCATAGCATCTATGGGTGAAGGGAAACACATTTTGTTTTGCCGAGAAGTTACGATGGCAGACAAAACTTTTCTTTTCTAAAATTAGATCAATATTAAAAATATTCTGATTAATACAAATTATACAATCAAACTGTTGAACTATAGTTTGTTATATTATTTGCATCTGCAAAATGTGTTTAAAATGGCCAGGGTTAGGAAAATGCTAGGGCAGGGCTATATAGGTAATATTCTAAAAAAACCTTTTTTGTGTTGAAAATTACTGAAATATACTAATGTAATATTAAATAAATTACAAGTACATAATTCAAGTTCTATATAAAATGGTATGCTGAACTTCAAAATTGTGAATTTCATGGCCCCCTGGGTCAGGGGTTCTGGTGTTAGGGTGGGGCTTTATTGATTATATAGTGAAAATGCATAAATTCTTAAAAAATCTTCTTTTCTGTACCTGGGTATTTAACCAATAGACTATGTACATTTAATAAAACACACACACAGAATGATTATTTTTTTCCCTAAGAAGGAATTGTTGTGTTAACGGACTATAAACATGTATATAGTGAAAATACAATTGTTGATATAATATTATCAATTTATCTGGGTGAAAAGATCTTAGTATATATTTATGACAAATATTTTATTTCCTGTGGGACAGAGATAAAAAAAGGGTGGGTGGGTAACATAGTCTGAAAATAATTTATTGCTTTGAAATCTGCACTTTAGTATTGATGAAATAAAATTTTTAAAATTTCCAAAATTTTGAAGTTGTTTTTGATTTCTTTAACGTATGACATACACAACTTTACTCTTATCATTAACACATAATGTTGTATCTACTTATCATGATAAACAAAAAGTGGAAATGCATTTTGTGTGAGTTTCTCTGATCTACTAGGTAATATAAGTAACCAAAGTAAGCATGCTGAGTGTATATATTAATATAAGCAATGGTGTCATACCCGTCACAAAATGTGAATTTCATAAGATCTGGGATAAAACATGAATCAAAGAGATTGTTGGAAAGTTGTCCATGATTTCAGGTGACCTATTGGCCCATTTTTTTTTTCAAATTTCCATCGATTTTTCAGCACATTTTTGTTTCGGAGAACATAAAGCACATTAAGTTATAAGTTAGAAGATAGCATTAAGAATTTGTTATACATGTATATACCGGGTATATTATTAAAAATTTGGCATAAATCTCTCATTCAATTGACATTTCAGTTACATTTTACAGTGATTAGTATAAATTTACCTGAATACTTATTATCAATGCAGGTAAAGAGCTATTGTTAATAACTTTTCTCAGAGGAATACAATACAGATTGAAAGAAATATCGGTCCAAAATGTCACATATCTAGTAATAAAAACACATGTACCTTTGCTTATATAAAAAACTTGAAAAGATGTGTTTGTGAATCTGTTACGCTTTGGGTTACCTATCTCCTCTTATGTTATTGAATGAAATTTCATGAAAATCTTTGTTGCATAACCATTGTGCACCTCCTATTTTATTTATTTTTTAGCATATAGCAAAAAGTTAACAGCCATTCTCTGTCATTGACCTTATTTGTCATTTGAAAGAACTTGATTAGTGGCGTATGTACATCAAACATGAAGTCTCCCATATCGGTTTTCCCCTTATGAAAACATAAAAAATATGGCGTACCCATCTGTTATCCGCAACTCCTCCTACACCACTGATTAAAATTCGATGTTACATACAAATTCTTTATCATAATGCCATTGTGCTTCACTTTTTATGATCTGACACTAAGGTCCACAAAACAGAACTTTGCCTTGGAGCTCATTGCTGTGTTACTTTTTTGACACTTGAAAAGCGGGAGGTATATAGTAATCGGTATGTCCGCCTCCCATATGTTTATAACTGGTGAAAAAGTCCATGTTTTCCTGTGGCCGGGAAACCCAAAATATGTGTCGGATCAAAAAGTAAAATAGGAGGTGCACAATGGCAATATGTAAGAAAGTTTCATCAAATTTCATTCAGTGGTATGAATTTGATGAAACTTTCACAGAATAACGATTACTATACACTTAATAATAACAAAACTTCTAAGTGTTCACTTTAATAAATGTATTTATTTTAAAACTACTTTATAGAATGGTATGATATTTTCAAATTATTACAACAACAAAACAATAGACATGAACACCAATGTTATATTAAAAACAATAAATCTGTAATTTGCGGCACGTGCTTTGTGTAATTAGCATCTTTTTGTGATGATTATCAAATTTTAAAAAACTGGTTTCACTAAAAAACACAAACCATTGGCAAAATGACCAATGATATAGAAGAGAGCCGTTGGAATGTTCATATCTGGACCATCCTTTCACCGCGTTTTACTCACTTTTATTTTAGTGTTTTCCCGCTTGAAAACAGGGTATATACAATTCAATTCTTTCTATATAATATTGAAGGGTACCCATCTGTTATCCGCAGCTCCTCCTACACCACTGATTAAAATTCGATGAACATTACGTACAGATTCTTTATCATAATGCTATTGTGCTCACACTTTTTGTCACTAATTTCGGGTTTCCATAAGCAAAACACGAAGTTTGCCATTATCTGTAACCATATGGAAGGCGGGGATAACATTTAGTGAGCTCATTGCTCACAGTACAAAGGCGGATCCCCCCCGTTTGAAATTTTTGTATGTAAAATTTATATGTCCATCATCCTTAAATCAAGGAAAAAAATCTCTTATTTGTATCCGAACTCCTCTCATACCACTGAATGAAATTTGATGAAACTTTCACAGAATCTTTATTACACTTGCCTTGTGCACCCCTATTTTATTTTTTGATCTGACATATATTTTGGATTTTCCAGAGCAAAACATGGATACTGCCAATATATTCATATGGGAGGCGGGGGGTATCATTTAGTGAGCTCATTGCTCACAGTACCTCTAGTATTACTTTTAAAAATTAACAACCAATATCGAAACCCATTTAAACACATTTTTGTATAGGCTGTGCGTCATTTTAAATCGCCAATTTATCACAATTTGGAAGTTTCGGACAAAATTAAACCAAACCGGAAGTGACCTTCATCTTCATCTAAGGCCAAAATTCTCTCATACCACTAAAAGAATGAAATTTGATGAAAACAAACAATTTCAACAGAAAATGATGAATATTACATATTCCCATTGCAGGCACGTAGCATCGTTTTTGACCAAAAGGCATCTGTGTGATGATGCACTGCCAAATGCCCAGATATGAATTTTTTTTATTTTACCTGGAATGGAAATGTTGACAAGCAAAAAAAACCTGCCCACTCGAAAATCCTATTTCGTGTGTGGGTGTGTGTGTGTGTGTGAGGTCAACTTTTTTGCTTACAATGCCCACTTCATGAAATTTACGCAGTATCGAACCCCCCCCCCCTAAATCCTGTTAAAGAAATTTGTATGCATTGTGTCCTAAAACTTAAAAAATTTTACTTTTTGATCCGACACATCTTTTGAGTATCCAAGAGCAAAACATGGAAACTGGCATTATATTCAAATGGGAGGCGGGGGTATCATTTAAGTGAGCTCATTGCTCACAGTACCTCTAGCTATACACACCCCCCCCCCCACCCCCTGGCTTGAAAAGCAGGAGTGTATATATAGTAATAAAGTCCACATGTACGTCCGTCCGTCTATTACGCTTTGGATTACCCATCTCTTATCCGCAACTCCTCTCATACCACTGTATGAAATTTGATGAAATTTTCACAGAATCTTGCCATTGTGCTCCTCCTATTTTACTTTTTTGATTCGACACATATTTTGGGTTTCCGACAGCAAAACATGGACACTGCCTTTATTCTCATATGGGAAGCAGGGGTTATCGTTTAGTGAGCTCATTGCTCACAGTTTCTAATCAAGTTTTTATTATAAGGCACCTTTCTGATTATTATCCTTATTGTTCCCCAATTAACTAGAACCAAAGAAAAAGACACATTTTAATCAATAACCTATTAATTTATTTGCTTCAAAATTTTGGCAGAGAAAAGCAAATAAAACTAAAATGTATGAATACTGAGACACAAAGAGTTTTGAAAGAATGCATTCATTATACTATATACAATCATGAGAACCCTGCCCCAACATCAAACTCTGATTCTGGGGCCCCACAAGCTATTTCACAATTTTGAAAGAGACACTAAAGTTAATCATAACCTATTAATTTATTTGCATAATACCCAAGAGCAGAGAAAAATATTTTTGGGGGGGATGCATTTTTACTAAAAAAAAAACACACATTTATCTAACCAAAAACTGATCCTGGGGCCTGAATTTACCAGCTAGCTAAATGCACACTGAATTTAGTGTACATGTACTAGAGAAAGAAAAAACTTTATATCTTTTTACTTCATAATCATTAGAGCCCTGTTTTCACTCCACAGCTCCTGATTCTGAGGCCACATTTCAGAATTTTGGAAGAGGCACCCTTGTTCATCATAACTATGTGCCCAGTTTTCCTGCTTAATATGAGGGGAAGGGGAGTTCAAGACGTGTATTTATTGGAGTCCTACCCTTACTCCAGAGCCCCTTTACAATGGAACCATGCATTTCAAATGGTAGAGGACTTGATTTTTATTTTTATCATCACACCAGTTCAACAGCTTGATTTCCAGGAGTAAAGAAGGTTTTTAAAGACTACATTAGTCATTTGCTTTAACCCCATTTGGGGACAGGGATTACACAATTCATATTTTTCATTCTCCATCCATTCATTCCTTATGCCAAAATTGGTTGAGTTGTTCAAGAGAAGATATACTGAAAATGTTCAAATGTTAGAGGACTGGGTGACTCAGCCTCAGGTGATCTTAAAACATAATTTATAAAATGTCTTAATTAATAAATGACCGTAATTAATTTAAAGTGAAATCCTGGCTACCTGTTAAAATATAAATATTAGTATGTTCAAGTTCTGTAGCAAAAAGATGCATTTAAACAAATAGATGTAATTTTATTTTCACATGCAAACAATTGGTAAAATCAGAAGGCAAATATATTTTTAGGTTTCAGTGCTCAATTCACCTAGAAATAACTTTTCAGTTTGGAAACATGATCAAGAGTGACAACATTGTTTACCTCTTACATGAAAAAAGCCAAGGCATAGTTTTTGCATTAAATTAATTATAAATTTGATTCAATATTTTTATTATTTTTCCCTTTTGTACTTTATAACTTTAAGTACACAGTGAGGCACAACTGACTGAAATGTGGAATTTTGCTAACATATACAACCTAAATACTTTATATCACTAACATTATTTTACATAAGGTATATTTATCTGTACGAGTAATTTAAGATAAAAAAAACAGTATATTCAATTCAAAACATGCAATACTATAAAGCAGGCATACTGTAAAGATACATGTACAATGCATTACATTGACTACAAAGTATAAATATATAAAAAGTTGAATTTTCTTAGATCATTTTTTATGAAAAGTCCATTTACCTTGTTCCAGTGTATTTATCAAACAAAATTTAACACTTAGTACAAAAAAAAAAAATTAATGGTAATGTATCATGTCATGTAAATTACACAGTTATCATCAATTTACATTTCATCACTTGTTGCTTCAGATTCTGAAGTATTCTTGATCTTTTATCTACAAAGACTGATTAACAATTAACAGTTCCTCTGTAAAACAAACAACAAAAAAAGGCTGCATCCTTTTAACATCATGATGTGCATAGACGTGAAACGTTTTTATAACTTTGAACATATTAAGTAATGGATTGTTTTCACCCAAGTTTTAATTTCAGACTGTATTGGAAAGAAGAAAATAATAGTTGGCACAATCAATCATACAGTCTCTGTATCAGTGTTTTCTGTGTTTGTGTTAAACTTTGCACTTTCACTTGTTCCGTCATACTTCTGTAGATGAATCTATAAAAAAAAGAAAGTAAATGAAACAACAACTGTAGGAAAAAATGCACCAATGGACATTTTTATATTTCAGGAAAGGTTTAATGGACACTGAACATACATGTACAATTTGTAGTTCTTTTGTTTGTCAAGTACTGGTATACACATGCAGTATCTAATCTTGGAATGACAATTTTTATCAAAATGTTTTTATCAATGCTGTAGATTAAAGTAAAGGCCTTTAAATATTTGACTTTCCAAAGTTAATTCTTCATTTAACTTCATTTGTGTGCACAGGAGTTGGAGAATTATGCATTTTGAAAGAAAAAAATCAGAATTTTTAAATTTGCATTCAGCCCTGCTTTTACTTTTAGCAGTTAAATAAATGTATTACAGTAATTTTGTTTTTACTTTTTTTTCTCTCCTTTCCTCTTTTTAAAGTTTTTAGGTGATGTAAAACAAAATTAAATTCTGGTAGCCTCAAGTTGTAGCACGTACGTACTGTTCAGAAAGCTTGTCAGTATCCTAGATTACCATGTACTCCTCTGTAGTTTTTCTGTGCCCTGTACTGACTTACATTGAAAGCTATACATGATGTACAATGAATCTCGGAAAAATACAAGGGAAGTTTACCTGAATAAATATGTTAACTTCTGCACTTCTACTTAGATATGGAAAGTTTCCACCTGATTTCAGGTGAGCTCGTTTGGCATCAGGGTAACATTTGTACATCTCCTCTCTCACGGCATGAGACAACGCACAGTCATCAAACACCTGGGGGTAAGTACATTAATCATATAAAATACTACTCAGTATATCAATAGTAAAATACTATTCTGTTTGTATCAGAATAATTTACACAAATACACATGTAAAATAAAATATTGCATATGATATGTTAAATTTAACCTTAAGTCATTACATCATTTGATACATGAAACTCCGACGGTAAAAAATAGAATTTGTGAGTAAAAGAATTCTTCACTAGCCCAGACCTGCCAACCAAAATTGATGCTGTGGGATGTTGACCCAACATTCAGAATTGAAATGTAGCAGTAACATTTTTGTGAGGCAGTAACAAAATGCTCCCTAATTTTTAGGCATCAATGCAAACAGTCAAACACATAGTGTCATATGTTATATTTTATTCACATTAATTTTTACTTACATCCATTAAAATTCTTGTATAAGAACACTTTCAGATTGATAGTAAGATTCAGATACTTTTAGTTCAATAGAATTTTTGCAAAGTTTTAAAAATTTAAAAAGGTTAATTCTACAATGATTAATTTTCAACATATTACACAATCAGAAAATTGTAATTAGACATTACATTGAAAGATTAATATTGAAAAATTGCTGCTGCAGGGGGTGGTGGTAAGAAATATGTGCCATCTAATTTCCTATTATTAATTTTAAAACACACACAAAAAAATTAAATGAATCAAATACTACAAAATAAATTATGAAGGATGCCTAACACCCTAAACAAAAACTTAAAATCGTTAGAGTCATGATGTGACTGACAAGTGGGTATTCCCTTGTCATAGCCATTTAACAAAGAAACACAACGTACAATACTACATTTTCGGGGGGGGGGGGGGAATTCAATATACTTCACTTTAGACTCTTTTGCTTTATCTTAATTAATATCATTTTCTTTTAACCACTACACTTAACAATAATTTCAATATAAGAGCTGATAAAATCAGCTGTTGTCAGTTATGCTTTGTAAGTTTTTTTATTCGTTTTTGATCCCAATGTTTATCATATCATTGTATTTAATTAATTAATTTCTGTTTTTAATAAAATGATATTTAATTAACCTCTAAATCTGTGTGGTTCACCATGCATATACCCCTTCAAATTTTTAATCCCCTAAATGCTCCAAGGGCATATTACCTGTACAGCTGTGTCAGTCTGCGATCAAGCGTGAAGTGATTTCCTGTGGCTAATTAACAGTTTTTTTAACACCTCGGCAAACAAAGATAATCTGTGTGCATTGAATAAACAAGATGTTCATATCCTGATTTATAAAACACAAATCGGAAATTTTAGGATGAGTTTTCAGATCTTTCTTGTTGAGACAAACATGCTTAATTAATATTGGGTCAAAATTTTGGGATGATCGATTTTGCGGGCAAAACTCTGTCAATTAGAGGTCAATTTTGCGGGTGTGACCCACCGAATGCGGGTCACTTGGCAGGTCTGACTAGCCCCAGACTTGATCATTAATGTCTGTATTTAATGTCAGGATGTTTTTCAGTCTTGAATAGCAGTAATAATGTCAAGCAGAATGATATTATAAACTAATTGATTTAAACTGACATTTTGTATCATATGATAGATATGTATTCACATTAACTACTTACATCCATTATAGTCTGTCAATTCTACGCCAAAACAGAACTTGACCTAGATATTCATCTGACTAACTGTATACTAAATTCCATTTCAATAGGTGCAACCTCTCAAAAGGAAATGAACGGAAACTGCAAAAATATGGATTTTTCTAAGTCCAAGGGGCATCCGTCAAGCTGCAATCAGAATAAAATTCTCGTGCACGACAAAAAAAAATAAATTAAAATTTAAAAAAACAAAATAAACGTGCTGCTCTAAAAGCTTTAGTGAAATCTTTATAAAGATTGATATTAATTTTTTTTGGGGGGAGGGATTTTTTTTATTTCATCATTTTATTATATTCAGCATCAAAAAGAGAAATACAAGTATCAATAAATTTACCCTCTCTACAAGAAAATCAATGGAATCACAAATATCTGTATCCACAAAACCTCTGTCAAAGTTTCCCATCACCATCTTCTTCAGAACTAGGGCTGGCATCATCCAAAACCTTAAAGATGTGTACACAGTTTTTACAGACACAGTGTTTGCAGCTTAGAACCATACAAATTTGCTGGTCATGTAATAGATTTGTCTGTCCTTTTTTTGGACTCAAAATAAATAAGTACAGTCTAGTACAGAAGATAATTTTAAATTATGAAATTAATGCATATTAACTTTGTTGATGTCAGAAATTTGAAAATTAGAATAAATCATTTTTTTTTTCAATCTTTCCTTCTCTATACTTACGTTGGGGCTGAGTTAGTTTGGTTGAAAATAGTGGTATCATAGAAAGCATTGCATAAGATAAGGGAGACCACTCTAGGAGAACGATGTGTGAACTCGGCAAACTTCTGAGCAAGGAATCCCCCTAATGATGTCCCAAATATATGAACCTTGAAAAAAGATAAAACACAGAGTGTAATTCAATTTACAAAAAATGATGTTTTTACATATTCCAAATAGATATATTAAAAAGCACTTGATGCATTTAGTTAACAAAAATATAGATTACTTGTCATTTAAAAACATCTTTACCTTATCCAATTGCAAATGGTCTAACAGCTTTTTGAAGCCATCACAGAATTCTCCCATTGTCCAGTAGGTGGGATACTCAACCTTTAAAAATTTATTATTTTTTTTTTTATATCAGACTAAGTAAAAGAACAAATAAGAACTTAACCCTATAAACTCTGACATCCTGTTATGAAAGATTTCTTACAGATATAACCCTGTATCCTACAGCTGACAGAGCCAGAAGCTGTTTGAAGAAGACATCTGCAGTACCACTGGCGGGAGGAAAACAGATCAGGGGGCACTTCACTTGTTTGGGACCGGCATCATAGAGCTTCCATTCCTTGCTCTCATCATCATCAACAATGTACTGGGGAAATTAAAGTCATTTATTTCTTACTTAATTTTCGGAGTTATTTTAGCTGTGTCTTGATGACTAGGTATTTATTTGTGATCAAAATTATTGGTTTCTAAATTTCATGGATTTTAAATACAGAATAATAAATTTCAAAGATACATTCATGTCCAAAAGGAACTAACTGGTCATTTTGTTCCATTTTCATCGACAGGACAGTCTATATATACTATGGTCAATGTGCTGTCCACTTACACACAAACATACATCTAATCTAGACCATAGTACTGAAAAAAAAACATACTGTTTTCAGTGGTACAGAGCTACGGAAACTCTGATATTCTTGGGAGTTGGATATTGCTGATTCTGTCATTTTGTTGAATACTATATATAGTTATTTTATCATATTGACATCTTTCGTGGAATACCCAACAATCTATGGATCTAAAACGATAAACACACAATGTTATACATTTAGATTGACTAAAAAATCCCTGTACAGAGATATAAGATGATTTTCGATTCTCAATAAGCATGTTAACGCAGTATATGCATGGTAAACAGAAATATTCACTCATGTAAACAAACCGTTTGATATTCTCTTTTGCACATGAAAACGTTTCCTGTGTTTACTTATATTTTTTATTTGTTGTATCTATTTGAATTTACAGCATAGATATAAATAAGTGTTGAAGAGGTATTGACAAAATATACATATGTAGTAAATAAATAATACAATATCGAGTTCCTCCTTCCTCAAACTTACCGAACGTCACAGTCCTGTCACATGATCAAGGCTCCCGAGCCCGAATATAATTCAAGGTTCCACTCTTTCAGACGCTTGGGGTTCTCAAAGCACTTGAATGACGGAGACTACAAGTTACCATAGATACTTCCTCTGAGTATCTTGACCCGCCATAAATTCGAAGCTGATCGAAAGATTAGCTTATAATCAAATTTTCAAAAGTATTTTTGAGACTAGCAGAAACAAGAAACATTTAATTCCAGTTTCTACACCCGCATATTGAAAAGGATAAGATTGAAATGCCAGGAATTGAGAAAAAACCAATTGTAATGATTGCTGCCAGAGAAAGAGGTTTGTGATAAATGTCCACTCCATTGTTTAAGTTTTATTCATAACAATGCCATTATCAAATAGGCACATATTTGTTTTGCAATTAAATCTTAACTTATTTGGGAATGCCGCTCTTTGACGAATGTATTACACTGTCTTTTATTCGTAAAGTTGATTTAATGAAGAAATCAAACACTTCATTCAATCATTGTCTGACATTGATACAGCCACGTGCCAAATTGAAAAGGTCAAAAAGTGGCCGAAGTGATATATGCCATTATCTTGGAGAGCTTTAATAATCATCCTCGCAAGCCAGGGTCCTGAGTCCCTGACTTGCGAGGATGTTTAATAATGGATACAGCCATATTATCTGCTCTATACATATAAGTTTAAGTGTCCATGTATGGGGATGTGCAGAATTAAAGGTTTTATAAACCTTGAAAAGATTGGTAATCAGAATGTTCTTTCCCTTTATAAATTAAGAGATACATAATATATTTCCATAAAGTGAATCTTTAAAAATATATATTTCATATTTAATATACAAATGTTATCATTTATTGAAAAAACTGTTGCTTCAACATCGAATTTTACATCTCGCATAAAAACTTCTGCACAGTTCGTGTTTTATATTTAAAATTGAAAATTAAATACATTTTTGAATATAGGTGATGCATGTGTCTAACTTCAATTTATATTTTATGCATCCAAAATTTAGTGTAGGTGATTTCAAAATGGTAACTTTTTTGTTTGATATTTATCCGACTATAAGATTTTTCAATGATAATTATAAATTCTATGACATGAATGAAATTGTCAATGCATTGACACGTTGACGTTGACCATCAATTGACAGACAGAATGGAATTGTCAATGCATGCCTTTTGACACACATAACGGAAGCGGTTTGATGATCAAGACACGTTGACATCGACAAAATGCAATTTTCATTGTTTACTTTTAGCCGCGGAATATATTTCAATTCCGGACGAATTCACATATTTAAAACAATGCACCAAACAGAATTGATGGTTCACACACTGGACAAACAATAATGTTTTCTGGTGGTCTGTAATAGTAATCATTTACATGGATGTTAGATAAATGTGCATGACAGTTTTTTATTATGTCAATACTCAACGTGTCGATGCATTGACAATTATTAAATATGTACTTATGAAAACAAGGTAAAATTTCAATATCTAAGAAATGAAATTTAAAGTATATGTTACTGTATTGTAACTGTTGCTTCAAGATCAGCTTACTTGACTTCTGAGTCAGTCTGGCATATTATAATTGTAACTTTTCATTTGACACTTTTTTCAATCTGACAATGCACCTAAGACACTTTTTATTCTATTGGACAATGTCAAAGTGTCAATGTCGACGCGTCGATGCATTGACACCTTTTCAATTGGACAAAGCTGGTCAATGTCAACGTGTCAATGCAATGTCAGTTCTTTAGGTCTTTTTTCATAAATTTGTCAATGTCAACGTGTCTATGCAGACATGTGTGCTACTTATAACATTTATAATGGTGATTTCAACAGGGAACAAGTTACTATAGTATTGTGATCGAAAGTAATACCCCGGTATAATTCTACATAAATTGGGCGCAATTTGTTTGCAGATAGGCACCGGAGCATCAAGTAATCTTACCTAACATTTCCTTTGACACCCCCCCCCCCCTTTCTAGCCCCACGTTTCGGTCGTTTGAATAGTCTCATATATGGAATCTTCAGTGGTTTGCTAATTTAGAATAACGAAGTAATAACTGGCTGAACATCTTGAACTCAGAGACAGGGCTCGCTGACAAAAGATAAGACCCAGCCTTTGTGAAAACTTGTACAATTACCTCCCTGAAAAAGATCAAGATATTGAAGGAAAAATTTATTTTGAGAAAAACATTTATTTTCAATTTCAATGAACAGTATGTTAACAGTTTACAAAGGAAGTTTGTTAATAAAGATTTACAAAGTAAAGGTATCCTGTACACTTGTGATGTATTAATTTTGTAAATATTGTTGGTCGACTTTAGTATTTTAGGAAAATAGCCCCCAAAAAATGAAAATGTAAAATAAACTTTTAGGGTCAGAGGGTAAAATGTGGGGTAGGTCGGGACAGGAAACAAGATTATATTTTATTTTGGCCTTACTAACTGGACATCTTTAGGAAAACTGTTTAAATGATCAGAACCCAAGGTGAAGCTAAATTCAAATTTCAATTGTCTTAGAATGTGCATGGAGGTAAAAAAAAACCCACTATATGTATGCAGGTCCAAATAACAATTTGATACAAATGGAGGAGGGCAAAAACGGACCTCTGATAGTATCAGTAGAGGTGACTGGGAATAGTATACATCCCCTATGGACGGACATGCAATGTAATATACGCGGGTTGTCCCGTAAAATCGTGGACAAGTTGTCTAGTGTGAAAAATAAACATCACTGCGTTCTGAAATTTTATTTAGTACATATTTTAGTAATATGCACAGCAAATTTCAGATAAATATATGCATAAATAAACAAATTATGAGATTTTATGCCATGTATAGTATCACCTTACGGCGCATGGATTATAACGTCAAAATGTCTAAAACAGCGTCACGTTTTATCTTTGCTGAAATGGAAGTTGGATGAGTCCGACTATCGGACTTTAATTTAGGAATTTCATTGATGCACATTCTTTAGTCTCCATAAACAGCCGAAGAACCAATTGGCACCCTCATGCGATCTTCTGAAGATTTATTTGTAAGTTACGGACAATATTCTCACCATCATTCAACTAATAGAAAATATCATATCGGCGGTCTACTGTGACAGCGTCTTTTGCTATTACATTAGGAGTTTGTCCGTAAGTTTTGTACTCCCCAGGGACTCGATAAAAAAAAACTTCGCTAAGAAAACTCCTATTTCATTTGTATACTTAAGGTATGGCGATATTTTTATAATCTTTTTTCTTCTATGGTCATTTCAAGTCTCTAAAGGTGTCATTTCAATATCGAAATAAAACTGAACTGTTCTCCGGTGCGCCGTAACGTCATAAAACGTTGTCATTTTTGTGTGTTGTGTTCACCACTTTCCTATTTCAAATACTCGAGAAACTGCCAAAAATTAAGCAAATGCCATAAAATTTTTACAAAGACTACAAAATTGATTGTGGAATTGAATTTAGTATAATTTTAATCCAAATCTTATGCATTTAAAACTTTTATTTTGAATTCAACTTGTGTATTCTTTAATAAAACCTTGGTTTTTTGACCGTGCGCCGTAGGACAATACCTCGTGCACATTCAGGCATAATAAAATCTTTATTTTTGCCTATATTTTATCAAAAAAATTATCATGCACTTAAATATGATAAATAAAACTTTACTGAAATTTTCAGCTTAGTGCGCCCATTACTTTTCGAGAAAAACGCTTTGTCCACGATTTTACGGGACAACCCTCGTAGTTCACTAGTTGTAAATTTTGTATTTACTGCCACTTGGTAAATTCAGAATCTACAACATGACAGAAAGTTCCGTACTTGACAGTGGCCTACATGTAGCATGGCTAACAATTTGTATGAAAAATGTCAGTCAACATTTGACATACATTGTAACAACAGATTGTATTTGTAAATAAAGATATTTAATGACTGAAGAATTAAAAAAATGTTGATTTTACAGGAGGTTATTGAAACTTATGTATCATCAACTTATCATCAACCTATTTTTCATCATTTTGATCATGTTGATACTTAATACACAACTGGGAAACATAAACACCACATGCAGGTGATAATAGTGTTTTGATACTTGAATAAGGAAAGATGGAGATAGAAAAATTGAAGTCTAGATATTAATTTAAAAGTTGTAAGTTGGCCATCACTGTCTTTCTAAAACAAATTATAAACATCCTAATAGTAAACAGATTCACTGTGTAATGATATTTAGAATTGATTACTTATTCTTTCAAATGTGTACAGAAGATTCTTTTTACATATCACACTCTATTAAATAATGATTTTATGAGAAGGGTTGGACCGGAACAAACGTCAGACGTCATAACTACTAGATGAATGAAATCGGGCACGGATCCAAATAATTTTTGCTTATTGATGCCACAGGCACCTGACGTTACTTATTTTTCTTTCAATAAAAAATATACACCTACTAATAATGTTTATTATTAGGTATGTGTATATTTTTTTATAAAAGAAAAATAAGTAACGTCAGGTGTCTGTGATTGATGCTTACATGCGTCAAATCTATATATTCATAGATGAAGAAGAAAATATATTGACTTTTCAGCTTTTGGCATCAAGGTCATTTTAAGTTTGAGTTTCGTCCTAATATGCTTAAAATTTGGGCGCTTCGGCTTTTGGGATATCTTCTTCTATTGTAAACACCTATATAATGGTCTTCTTCTACTAAATTTTCATACTGTAAATGCTAAATAAATGCGAAAAATTCCCATTTCATACAACCTTCTCCAGGCATAGATCAAGGATTATTTACATCACATGATGGGTTCCGCCTCCGTCAAAATATTTCCAGCCCAGAAATTTCTAGACTAGGAGTAGCCAAAAATAAAAGAACAAAACAAAAAAAAGAAAAAAAAACAAAACACGCCTTAATTAATTTTTCCCAATTGTGAAAAATCTTTTTAAAAGAATTTTTTTTGGGGGTGGGGGTGGGGACCCCCCCCTCCCCAGGTGAAACAAATATTCCTTTGCAAAGGTATCAAGAGTGGTTATTTTCAAATTCCCTCCCAGACAAAAAAAAGGTAAACAATATAAAGAGAAACACACAGGCACCTGGGGTAAACTTATTTTTCTTATATAAAAAAAATAACCTTACCTAATAAATATATATATACATTGTATTAGGTATGGGGTTATTTTATAAAACAAGTAATGTCAGGTGCCTATGCATTCACATATAAAAAACTTGACCAAAGTTATTTTCAATCATGGTAATAATCCTGCTGGTAACAAAGAAATTCTAATAGAAGATTCTAAGTATTTCTAGTCTCTGAACAGATCACATTTAATCCTTGGTAAGGCAAGTATCGGTATAAATACAAAACACACAGAAGACAAGAAATCGTGTTTAATCATGTTTTTATTTTCAAGCAACCATACAGCTACAGGCAAAACAAAGACAGGAGATCAAATCAATATTGAAATGTTTGAAGTCAAACACACTATTATGTCCTTGACAACGAAGTTTCAATACTAATTTGACACCCCCGTTATGTGTTGTATATCGCACAAAAATAAAGTTCAATCCACAGCCAAGGCTTTCCTTCGTAACCTCCGGAGTATTTATACTTACTGTTCCTATATAATTATTTTACAGAATCCAGAATTTCGTCATTCAGATTGTACTTACTACTTACCTCACCCAAGTCGCCTTGATCATAGCGTAACACTTTAATCACTTTATTACAAAAATCTTCTCTAAAGAAAGCGTCATTACATACATTAATCTAAAAAAAATTCTTTAGTGACCTACCTTGTAAGTATGAGTGGTGAAATTACCCAGAACCACAGACACAACACAAATTACGGCGTACATATGTTACAAGCAATACGTCCGTGAATGAGGTCGCACTGTGGTCCCTGGGTGATCCTCGCCTACCCCAAGCACTAGAAAGCGACAGCGGGGTCGCTGTGGCGAGGGCCCAAGAACCGGGAACAGACCCTAGATGCGAAAATCCAGGGAGGTTACGAAGTAAGCGATTGACTCAGTGTGTTAAACTTTCTTCCTGCGCGAAAGAACCCACTTCCAATCCACCCCCATTTTGACGGTGGACGGAAGCGGGCAGCAGGTGGTTCCGCTGGATACCAGGCAGCTCGGTGTTTATATACCCTACAGGACGAGTCACGTCATAAGTCCAAAAATAAAACAGCTGACGGTCGCATTTACTTCGGATATCCTCTGAATTGTTCTTATTATTTAAACGTAAAAGTAAGTTACATGTCATGTCCTGTCTCGACGGATTCGATTGCGATTGATTGTGCAATTCGTTCATGAAAGGCGGATCTAATCTGTTTTCATGAATGTACACGTCTTTTTAAAAGTCAGCACATTGTACTTCGATTGCACATCTTTATAAGACACATGTATAATGTACATGTTATACTATATTCATTTCATTACATAACTGTAATTAACTCTATCCCGTGCTAGTGCAATATGTGAGAATTTTAAGTCAATTGCTCAATCGATAATAAAACTAACCTTATATGACTTGCTCCATTGACGTGAAAGATTAGACAGGTAAATTAAAGAGCATCTATGGTTTGATTTCTCTCCTCAGGGTATAAAAAGGAGGGTCAGCTATATGATGACCCCCCTCTCTGGGTTTGGCACGTAATTTTGTATTTCATGAATATCTTTTAACATCTTCTATACGGTTGCGATAAACATCTTGTTCACAATTATTTATAACAAAGTACTCATTTAAAACAAGATATATATGTTTGTGAAACACTGAAGCCCCACGAGAATTGAAGTTTCTTAGATGCAAATCAAAAGCCAAAGTCAAAAATATTTATACCCATTGAAAGTCTTGTCACAAGGAATATACTAGTACCTTTGAAATATAAATGCCATAGCCACATCCGCTCGAAAGCAAGGTAAAGTTATGCGGACAAACAAATAAACAGACAGACAGATAGATAGAGCAAAAACTATAAATCCAAGTCGAAGATTCGGGGGTGTAAAATGAAATAGAAAATTACCGTGAGCAAAATTGTAAATGCCGATTATTTTAAATATTTAATATGAAGCTAACATATATATTTTATAATTCAAATCGTGGGACATCGTCGGAAACCCACGGCTGATTACACTTCGTTCCTCTCTCCATCACAGAGAGGAACGAAGCGTAATCAGCCGTGGGTTTCCGACGATGATCGTGGGATAGAAATCATCCAAATTCATTTATTCAATTATACAAATTCAAAGTTAAAGTTATTAGCCTTTGAAAATTAAAAAAAAAAAGATTTTAAAGAATCTATGACATCTTAAATTGTGTTTAGACAATGAATTTTAATGAAATATATGATTACACTTGTTACACTATTATTATGCAAATAATCACATTAGATTGATTAAAACTCCACGTATTTCTTCATTATACAGGACCAGGGCCAGGGCGTTATAGATTGCCCTCCACTGTGGGATGTGAGGCCCATGACTGCACTAGACAGATGCAGCCTGCTTATTCCTTTGGGAGATTGGAAGGACGAGGTACAATGCGTATAACAGTTAACATATACAGCAATTACATATAGTAGACTTTTGTGTATTTTATCCAGATAAACCAATTGTATTAATGTAAGCGTTATCAATGTCATCTCAGTTCAGTACGAAAAACAAACAACCATGATATCTCATATTGTTTGCAGTCCACTTCAAGGACTGGAGTCCCGGCCCGGCCTACTACATCGACCCTAGGATTACCCGTACTGGGATAGACGGCACCCCCGTGTACTCTTTGCTGGCCAGACAGAGGGACCCAAGTAAGATCAGGGAATAATCTTGAGGAAAGATTTACACTCGTAATAAATATATACAGAATTTTAAAATTAAACCAATGTACGCATTATTCCTGATTCCAGATACCTTCAAAACCCCTTCTCCTGGTCTTTACTCTCCGGAGAAGGTTCATCCTCAGGGGGAGAGACACGCCCCCCAGTACTCCATCAGCGCCCGCACTAGACTGAGGCGCATCGACCAGAACCCGGCCCCTAATAAGTACACCCTGCCGCCCATAATCGGCAACAAGCAGCCCAACAAAGCCGCGGCTCCAGCCTACGACATCACCAGCCGCAGAGAGGTAGGCTTTTTATGCTCCAAAATTAAAACTTTGCTAATATGAATGAATTATTATACCATTAATTAAACAAAAAGGGATTATAAGTATTGACTACTATAATACATATTTACAAATAATTAAAAATGGATTTACGGTAAACTGAAACGCACACCAATTGAATACCAAATTTGGAGGGCATATCAATAGAGTTGAATTTTTAACAACAAAAAATTGTCGGTAAAATTTGATTACATGTATGATATAAATTATTAAAAAGACGTAAAACTAATGTGAGCTATACCAAAAATAAAATACAGAGGTTTTTTTTAATTACGAACAGATAATCATACATGTTTATATTCAAAATCCGATGGAGATTTTTAAAACAAGTAAATACATGTACACGTATCTGTATATATATGATTGCACTATATACTCTGGTTTAACTTTTATCGATCAAAATGTACACATTTTTGGTCCCTCTACTCCCTATTGTCTATTTGTATTTTGATTCTGTATAGTTATATAGTCTTCTTAGGAATATAAGAAATGTTTAATTCCAGTTCGTAAGTTTTCAGAGAAAGAAATTCTCCATTAAAAATATTTCAATTCTTTTGAAGAAACGTGGTATTAATTGACTGCAGTAGCTTTTATTTTAAGAAAAAAGTTGTAATGAGAAACCCAAAATTTAGTCCCCGCTAGATTTCAAGTCCCAGTATACTATTTTTCTATTCTTAAAATCTCTTGCATCTGAATATAAAGTCGTGTAAGGTCCTAGGAAAAATGCTTTGAATATAACATTTAGTCATAAACGAAACGAGAATAAGGCCTAAATAAATATATATAATCCAGTTTTTCTACAAATAAAGTTAATCGCGTTTTGAAAGTTTTAATACTTATCTTAGCCAGTCGTCCAATCACCTGGACTATCAAACACGCTATCCTTTTTATTTGTTTTTGTTTTCAAGTACATTAATTTACATTTAATTTGATTGTGAAAATGGATAATTCTTAGCTTGATTTCAGTTAAAACTGGTAGCAGGAATTGATGTTACTATAAGTTTTTAAATCTGATAGTTTTGCATAAAATATTTCACAACCAAGTGAGTAACAAAGATACAAGGTAAGATCACAAATTTATTGACTGTTTTACTCTTTTTAAATTAATTTTTGTCTTCTGTGCATGACATTTATTAATCTTGCTTTGATACTCATTGTCGTTATTCATCCAAATGCATGCATCGTCTTAAATTTCATTTGTTCCATGGTGGGTTTTTATGTTTGTTTATGGTTATGATTTTTTTTTGGGGTGGGGGGGCATAACATTGTATTCCAAAGAACATTTCAGTCTAGTAAGATAGTAATTTGTGACTAGCTTGAAGTTAGGACAAAGCAAAGGAAAGAAAACTAAAATATCTGTTATTTTGATGTCCTATCATAAAGCGGGGGGGGGGGGGGGTTAATACGTATAATTCGAAATCCTAGTGATGTAAATGAATTGGCAACGAAGTAAAATTAATAAGAGGCTAGTGTCACATCTTTAAAAAAAAAGTATGTTTCGTTTTTTAATTCATTATTTTAAGATATTATAATTTATGGTTATTGTAATATGTTTTCCCGCCATTTTAGATCGGCAGTTACCTGGAGGACCTGTGTAAGACCCCAGGCCCGGGGAAGCACAACGCTACTCACCCCAACGTCAACAAAACCATGGCCCCCCTGTATTCCATCAGAAGCAGGAGCTATGCCCCCGGGGACAACACCCAAAAGCCCGGACCTGGAGCACACAGTCCAGAGAAAGTCGTCATTGCCCGCCCTCAGGCTCCCAAACATTCACTGGGGATTCGCCATTCCGAGTTTATCTGCCCACTCATTGCTGAAGGCTAGCTTTTCCCTTACCACTGCAACGGGAATTATGGACTAATGAGAACTTTTTTTTTCAAAAAATTATGTTGAAATTTTTTTAATTGGGATTTTAATGTAATGACAGTGAAAGTGTCAATTCTAAATTTTAGTAATATTTTTTGTGTAAAGAATTTCTGCGTTCTGTAGAACGGAATAAATTGCGTAAAATGACGATATATAGTGCAGTTGTCTTTACCATAAAAAATGACGATACGAGGTACATATATCGTGTAGCTGTATTTACCATACAAAATGACGATATATATAGCATTAGTCTTTCCCATACTAAATTACGTTATGAAGTGCAGTTGTCTTTACTATACAAACCATGAGGATATTATGAGTATTGTCCTTACCATACAAAATGACGATATATCGTATAGTTGCCATTACCATACAAAATGACAACATATCATGTAGTTGTCTTTAGCTTTTAAAATGACGATATACAGAGCAGTTGTTTTTACCATTCAAAATGATGATTAACAGTTGTTTTCCCATGCAAAATGACTATATGTCATGTAGTTGTCTTTACCATAAAAATGATATGTCATGTAGTTGTCTTCCCCTTAAAATGATGAAAAAGTCATCTTAACCATTTGTAGAGGTTATCATGTCGATAAACAGTGGTGGCCGGTGTTATCACCCCCCCCCCCCCCATTTAACAACATAATTTGCCCCTCTTTCTCTGACCAATAGAACTAGAAATGTAAAAACTAGAGACTTATTTTTCCATGTTTAAATATACATTTATTTTTAAATACAGAGATACAGCATGATTAAAGAAAATCAGTATATATAGTCACAATGATGTCTTATGTTTTAATAAGTAAACGCATTTCTCCTCAGTTTTGACTTTGGAGGTAATTATGTACTTTGTCCTTATATAATGGTGAAATGAAATCAAAACCCAGCAAAATACTAGCTACTACTGATTCCAAAAAAGACAAATGTTTTATATAGTACATATTTTGATGTTTATGAAGAAAGCTTTTCAGTGGAAAAGAAGATTGGGTAAGAATAGTGTATAAATATTAAATTCTGTATAAATCTAACTCTTGTTTATTTAGATACAGTACTACCCTGTGTAGTACCCGGAATATATAATTCTAGTAGATGTTCAGATTATTTTCTTCAGTGAACTATTGTAAAACTTTCTCTTTTCTTTCTGTATATAAATCAAGATTTTTCCTCATAGCAAAGTTCTCGGATCTGTATTTTCAGACAAAAAATATTGTTTAAACATGATTTAACAGTGTCTGTATATCAATACAAAATGAGAAAAGATTATCACAATTCCTCCGTGAAGCTAAATATTAAGGATGGCATCTTTGGACTGATGAATTCTCTTGCTGACCTTACTTGGAACATGGAATTTAAAAGTTTTCAAAATGATGAACGAAGGTGGCCCCTTCTCGTTTGTTGAGATTAGTACAAGCACTATCCAGATTATTGGTCATGTTTGGTGGACCACAGCTGAAAACTCCAAAATTACGGACCTGAAAGAAAACATGTGCACATAAAATATAGATCTTGTTATGGTACTTGTATAATATAATCTTCAAAGGTAAATGTGTAGAAATTTTTAGCCTACATTTGGATGTTCCATCTTCACTGATTTCAAGAAGTCCTGAAAGTCTGGTCTACCAAAGTGAGTAACAGCACTAAGACCTGTAAACAAACTCTTTCCTGCCACCTTCTGGAAATGACGTTCGCAGATGTACTGAAAAAAAATTACCTCCGGTTAACACATTTTATTACAGTGACAAGTTTCTCTATTTATTTATATGACTTACAAGTGGGGTTATCCAAAAATTTTGGACTGATAGGATAAACAATAATAACACCTCAGGTTGTACTTTAAAATACTTACTACATAAAAAGACAAAACAAGAAATGTTAAAAAAGTCTTTAAATCTTTTTGCTTGATATGTTAGTTTTTTTAAGGACATTTTGTTGTCTTTGCATGAGTTTAATGACATTCTCAATGTCAATTCCCTCTGACTTTTTTCTAGATGATATTCCCTTTAGTAATATGACTTATTTCATGAACAATTGATTTTGGAACATAATACTCACTTAACAAAACAAAAAGGATCTTCACTTAATATGTTTATAAAGATTCAACTTTTATTGTACATAAGATACATTTATTTTTTTAATGCAACATTGAATCATTTGTGCAAGTTAAAAACACTTCATCATGTATTGTAGATCACTATATTTTTGTGACACCTATTTTCATGTGACACCTAATATTGGGTATTTTTGAGAGATATGGTATTTGTTGTATATGATCCTTTCTAAAACAAACATATGTGAGAATGTAATTTCAAAAGCAGACAGACTCACATAATTACACAAATATAAAGTTTTGATGAATAAAAAGTGATTTACAGTTATTGAGACATATTTTGTTTATCTCCAGACTGTTCAAAGTATTTGAGTATTTAAAGTGTTCTTTGAAAAAGACATCACCTTCCCCTACCTATTGGGTCACATCCCTACTACTGAATCAAAGTGAAAAATTGATGAAAAATGCTTGTGTCAATTTATATTTGTTTCTCTCTAGAAAATCACAAATGTACATTCTTTGAAATTATTCTTTCTTTTGTATGCAGAAAAAATGTCAAATTGGGAAAACAATATTTGATGTACTCTTTATGGCACTAGCCACAAGTCCCTGAACTTTTTGATAACATTTACCTCTTAATTTACCTGTAAAATCAGATCTTTATATATTATAGCTAATAGTCCTTACCAACATAGTGGTTCTCAGGTCAAACTTCTCCTTGAACTGTGTGACAAATATATGAGTATCCATAAATTGTTTGCTATCCACATTCTCCACTTCCCGGATAATATCCGTCATCCACTCAAACTGCTTCTGTGTACGGGTCACCCACAAAAAGTACACCTGGAGAAAAGTTAAATAAAATATCAGTAAATCATACTCTACAAAATAATCCATTACACAAGAGCATGGTGAAAAAATTACGGTACTGTGCATTGTTAAGAATGCACGTATATATGCTTAAGGGGAGATAATTTCTTTAGGATTACGGATATTAAGTTCCTTTTCCTGACTAATCTACACACTTTTTTGCATGGAAATCTCAGATCAGCAATCTTGGATTTGTGAACAATGTCTTTCAGGATGGAAGCAAATGGTGTGACTCCGATTCCCCCTCCTACTAACACAGCTACCTCGTATCTGTACCAGTCCTGGTGACCCTCTCCGTACGGGCCGTCAACGTACACCTGCAAATAAACAACCTTTGTTATCTTTGCTCTCATCATAATTAATAAACAGTATCAAAATGGCACTGTTAAAATCACAAAACACATAATATGTAATACAGTAGCACCTAATATATGAGAAAATTTCATATTTTCAAGTTTGAAAAGAACAGAGAAGATTCCTAATCCTAATTTATATCAATAGTTAACTGATAATTTCTCTTGTTGGCAATTTGATGGCCATGAATCATTTCGCAATATTAAGTCCTTATGTTAAGTAAGAAATCTACAGTACTGTAACTCTCAATATACATAATTCAGAAGAATTTTTTGTAAAAGATTTTTTTATCACTTATACCTGGGATTTATAGAGTTAATGCAAATTTTATAACTGATAAGACACTTACGCTGGGGTAGGAGGACCTTCCCTCCAGATTGTCAGGGTCGTACAGATTCCTGAGGTTATAAGTCCAGGGCCCCACCGCTCGGATGTGGAGGCTGAGATATTCCTCATGAGGAGCAGAGCTGATGGTGAAGGGGTGGTACTCGTTCTCTCCCAGCTCCAGGCAAGCAATTCTGACCCACTGACCAGACTTATAGTCAAATGTGGTGGGTCGCTGGAAAACTAGTGCTGTCACATCTTTTTTGGGAGAAAAAATTCATGAATTCCTTATATAACTCCATATATAAAATTACTATATTGTTTAACACACAAACCCAACAGCTCAACTAGATTAATTACAGCTTTATTTGTCTTAAATGTTCAAAATCTATATTTGCAAAACTTTTTTTCATCTCAAATTCAACAGAAAATCATTACCTCTTAAATGTAACAGTAATTGTGCACATGTACATGCGACTTACCAGAAGGCAGTAACTCTGCTTTGACCACTCGACATTCAATCTTCTTACGACTGATACTGATGAGCTTGTCAATGATGAATATAAAGAGTGGTCCAATGAGATAGGTGTGTGTGATAGGAGCCTGTACAAGTCGTCCCAGTCCATGCATTATCATGAAGATGTACAAAAAGATGTACAGGCTATGAGTGCCCCAGAAGGCATTAAAGGCATTGCGACGAGCATAAGGTGTGGCAAACACATACATAACAATGACGATCAGGGTAAGTATTATTCCAGTAAGACCTGAAACAGACATAAAATTGAAAATGAAGTACCTGCTGAAAACAAAATTTAAATTATGACAGCTAAGCACACATTCAGGTGGGATGCTCCTGGTGAACATTTCTTTAACACAAAAAGAATTCAGATATCATTTTCACTGTAAAATTGCAGTCATTGAGTGTTACAAAAAAGTTCATTTATTGCAATTTTTCATGAGCTTACAAGGGTCTCTGCCCCCCCCCCCCCCCCCCCCCCCATCCCACTCTGAACTCTGTCCTTTACACCTGGAAATCTTGCTATCTAACAGGGACACCCCTAAACCAAAATCTTGGATCTGCACCTAATAAGATGGTTTCATTTATATGTTTTACAGAAAAAATGAACTCACCTGTTATTGTTGTATAAGCCCAGTAGTGGAATGAGGCTAGGACATCTTGTCTGGAAAAGATAATTTTATTTTTGAAAAAATATGTATAAATACATTATTTTACAGTGAACTTCAAGTCTGACAGTTTGAAAAGATTTGAAAAGATTGCTTACAAATACAGGTAGGTTTCATTATGCTAACAACACAGTCAGGTATACATACGCTCTGAAGTACTCCATGAAGTAGCAGTTACCATCTCCCGATGTCTGAGTGGAAATGTGATACAAATTTATTCCATGACCAATCACATGTACAACTACAGAAAGAAAGAAATCAAACAAAATAAGAATTTAATTTCTAAATTCAAATACTGTAAGTCATTTTAATTCCATGGTGTTAAAATTTCACGATATCTCAAAAAGTATCAATTGCGATGGTTTTAATTTCACGCTGCAAGAAATTGATTCAAAATTTCGTATAAGCTTTTAAACGCTTTAAAAACAAATAATAACATTTATGATGGATTTAATTTCGCGGAAAATTAATAAATCATGAACATAGTGCAATTAAAACCATCGTGAATATTTGCCAATCTACAGTACATGTATTAAAAACATGCCTCAGAAATGTTTTATCTAAAGCAATATTATTAGAGAGACTTACATGTAAAAAGTAAGGCCTGGTATGCTATGTACTTGTGTAAAGCATGCATGGAATCCCAGGGGAAAAATCGGTGGAGGAAAGTCTCTCGGAAGAACGTAATCATGTTTCGGCTCATGGTAATCAACAGAGAACAATAAGTAAACATCATAGCACTGGCAGCACCGCGAGTCACAGTCACACCATAACCAGCGATACGACGCAGTCCTCCAGTCTCACGTTCAAAAGAGTAATCTAACAAAAAAAGACATAAATGCTAAAACTGATAATTTTCATAGAATAGGAATATACCTTACAGAGTGTTCTCAAAATGAAAAAAAAAAGCGTAATATTTTAGACTAGTGCTAATAAAAGTAAATTGTAATTGCCCATAATTATCATGTAAATTAATTTTCAATAACTAAACTTAAATCAGCAACTGGAAGAACCACTGAATACAATGAATTATTCTGCTCTATAAATGACAATATTTTATAAAATGTTCATACAGAAAGCTCTTTCCAGGAAGATCCCGATGAGAACGAGTGTAAAGAGAGTTCCCCAGAAGATCTCCAGTCGGTTGTAGGAGATATAACTGGTGATCTCGTACATCTTCTGCGCAAACGGTGTCTTGGGATACTCAGTCTGATGTGTCGTCACATGCACTACACTCTGTTGTCGCTTTAAGCCTTTTCCTTTTGTAGCACCTTTCCTGAAGATGTATATCAAATTTTAACAAAATGTTTTTTTTACAACTAAAGCATTAAAATCAAACCTCAGACATACATGTATAAGTATTTGTTAAGTACATGTTTGAAAAAATGTTTTGCAATGTTAATTTTGTTTTATGTTACTATGAGTGTTCAAATATCAATTTAAGGCTACTACATGGTGTACATATATTCATTGTGAAGTAAAACTTGACTGATCTAAATTTTGCATTTTATGAAAGTTTTGCCTTTCAATTAATTTAACAGCATCTCACCACATCCCCCATCTACAGTGTACGAATCTCTTTCTTTTAAGATATACTTAATTTCATCCACACTATGGGAGATGACCTAGGACTTACTGTGTGTAATTCTTTAACACTGTGGCCCTCCTTGCTCTAATTGTTGTGTTTGCAGACTGCTTGACTGGCTGCTGTCCATAATCCCCAACACCTAGTGTGTATAAAGTTGTTATCTTTAAAAATATCAACATTTAATTTCAGGTAAAAATAGAAATTTTCAAAAATCAAAAACTGTGGAATCATCTATGTTCTTGGGGTGACCAATAGTCATGGATTCTGGATCACCCTTACCCACAAATTTATATCTCCAATGATTCTCTGAATCTACTGATTTTACAAGTTGCCCAGGGAATCACCACAAACCAGTGAAATTTTGATTGCAAACACAAACATAGGACCCCCCAAATTTGAATTATGATTCAATAATATGCAGATATGAGCATAATGCTTTAAGTTATGAGCAGTAATGATTAACACATTTATGAAAAGTTTGTCTCTTATTGAATGAATTGCTTAACAGTTACAAACATTAGAGAATTTCATAAAGTTCAGTTTTTAAAATGAAGCAAAGCATATAATTATTTTCATTGCATTTTTATTGGTATCACTGTAACATTTACCATCCAAATTCAGAGTAGCCTTTTGTAATGTTCCAGCATATTCTTCAGAGGCAAAGATCCGCTTAAAGTCTTCAAAGGTAATGTCTGCTCCGTAACTGAGATTGGCTGCTTTATACATGGACTGAACTAGTTCTTCCATCTTTCTTTCATCCAATGATGAGTCAGACAAATCCAATAGTGACCTGTAGAAGGAGAAATTCAGTGGTAAAAATGAGCAATAAAGGAAATCAGTGTTTTAGAGTAAAAATGAGAAATTTGGGAACTTGGTGTTTCAGTTTAGAGTAAAATAATAAATTCAGGATTTGGTCATTACATGCAGTGACTATAAAACTAGATGTTGGTCAATTTTTTTATCAGAAACAAATTTTAAATTAAAAGTCATTATCTTGAACTTGATGGGACTGAGTAAGAGCTTGAGATATCAGGGGAATTGAGATATTGGGAGTAAAATAATTAATGAGTAAATTAAGTTTGAACATCTAAATCACTTCAATACATGTACGTGTATATTTATAGTATTCAAAATATCAGTGTTCAAGATACCAAAGGTCAACTGTATTTGTACATCCATTTAAAATGATAAAGACACAAGCACCAAAATACATGAACAAGTATTTAGTAAACACCACAATAAATTATCACCCTATAATCTTCCACACAATGTACCTGGAAGATTTGTGTGAACTCACTTGATCATGTTGGCAAAGTCTTTCTTTGATAGTTTCCCTCTCCTCTGGATGTCATACATACTGAAGATCAAATGAATCTTACTCTCTGCATCCTCTGTAAAGGAGTGTCATATAATGAAGACTGAATCTACACTACACAAACCTGATGGTAGATACATGTTTATTTAATAACTTGTATATATTCTGGATCAGTGGTTAGATGATTTTTAAATGACATCATAATAATTCTACACTTTTTTGTCACTTGCATTGTAATATTCTTAGATTAGAGAAGCTTGGGTTTCTGGTTAAGTTGAGCTTAAAATGCACTGGAACAAATGTGGACATCTAGTTGTTATAAATGAAAAGAAAAAACAAATTGTCAACAGAAAAAAATGCTCAGAATTAAAAAGACTTCCCTACATTTTTACACAAAAGCAATGGCAATTAATAATTCTAAAAATTATGTGTTTAAGAACATTATATTTCAGTACATGTTTAAAAAAAAATACTTACGGGATGATAATACGACAAAGAAGTCCAGAAATTCTCTGAAGCTGACAAATCCACTTCTGTCAGCGTCCACCAACAGGAACATGTTTCGTACGAATATGGAAGTTGGCTTCAGACCAAGAGCCTCTGCAAACTCAGTACGAGTGAGTTGTATTTCTGCAATCTTTTTCGCTGTTTCATGATCCAAGTTTTCTAGGTCTAAGTCTTTGCTGGTTTTATCTTTAAATGCCTGATAAAAAGGAATTATACTTTGAGACTATTAACCAGTCTTACAATTCAGACTAATTAAATCCGTCTAAGAATTCTCACTTCTAATTTTTAGCAATCATTTTTTTACAAAATTATGTTTTCTTGATGCATGTGTTTACCTGTAAACATATAACTCTAAAAAATTTGTCCAACAATTTCTGTCTATCTTCCTTGGTTGTTGCACTGTTAAAAATTAGCTCTGCTTTTGCGAAATTGTTAGTAGAGTAGTTGGCCCCAATGCCCTCAGCAAAGCTTTTCAGTTTAGATGAAAATTGGGTCTTCCTGTCTACGGCAGCAAACCTCAATACCTGAAGAACAAGAAGGTATCATCTTGATAAAAAGAGTACGATATGAAATTATAGCTTTCGGTTGTTTAATATCTATTGAAAATATCAACAAAGACACATTAATTTCAAAATTTATTGCTGAGGTATTTAGAGAGAATTAATTTTAACTTCTACTAAAATACTGTTCAGAGAGTTTCAGTTTTTTACTTGGGAAGGGGGGGGGGGTGTTCTGGATTTTTGTTACCATAGTACACCTACCCGGTAATTTCAGTTCTAAGATAAGTACAACATATCAACATTATCATTATTTGCTTTCCAATCCTGCAGCTGGAAAAGAGAAATGCAATATTTTTCTTTTAAAAGAGAAGTTGAATTAACGAATGACATACCAAGTCAATTTCCCCATCAGCTCGGACAGACACAACAGGTTGGTCGTCGGCATTCCAGAGGCGAATACTCTTGCCTGCGGAGCCTTGCTTTGGGCGAAGGTCGATCATACGCAGTGGTTTTCCTCGTCTGTCGTTTACATGTAATTTCTTTCTCTGACTGTCGAATTTAATGACAACATTTCTTTCTCCTTCTTTTTTTCCAACCCATTCCACAACTACATGAAAAAAATGAGGATATTGGAAATTGTTGATATTTGTCTTTTATATTTCATCTCTAAGTAAAGATGCATTTTAAAAGAAACAATGTACAGTGGACCCATATGTATCTGTCTGATGGTTCCCAGTCAATTTGTCCGGATATGTGAAGCATCTGAATATCTGGCGTCCGGATATCTGAAGGTCCACTGTACAGTACATATATTTTGTCTGATGGTTCAGATTCAAAGATATGTTATCATCATGATTGTTTTGATATATTCAAAACAAGAGGCCCATGGGCCACATCGCTCACCTGAGAAGCTTTGACAATTCTGTTCTTTACCAGATTTCCCCCTTGTTATACATAATGCATCCCCACCCTACCCCACTGATCATAATTTAGACATTTTGAAATCTACACTACCCTATGATCCTTCCATGGGCACATATGTTTAAGCTTTTTTGGCCCAGTGGTTCCTGAGAAGAAGATTTTCAAAGATTTTTCCTATATATTTCTATGTAAAACTTTGATTCCCTATAATGGCCCCACCCTTTCCTCGAGGGTCATGATTCCTACAATTTAGAATTTACACTACCCCAGACTGCTTCCACATAAGCTTCACTTTTTCTGGCCCAGTGGTTCTTGAGAAGAAGATTTTCAAAGATTTTTCCAATATATTTCTATATAAAACTTTGATTCCCCATTGTGGCCCCACCCTTCTCCCTGGGGTCATTTGAATAATTTAGAATCTACATTATACCAGGATGCTTCCACATAAGTTTCAGCTTTTCTGGCCCAGTGGTTCTTGAGAAGAAGATTTTCAAAGATTTTTCCTATATCTTTCTATGTAAAACTTTGATACCCCATTGTTGCCCCACCCTTCCCCCGGGGGTCATGATTTGAACAATTTAGAATATACACTAAACCAGGATGCTTCCACATAATTAAGTTTCAGCTTTTCTGGCCCAGTGGTTCTTGAGAAGAAGATTTTCAAAGATTTTTCCTATATATTTCTATATAAAACTTTGATTCCCCATTGTGGCCCCGCCCTTCCCCCGGGGGTCATGATGTGAACAATTTAGAATCTACATTATACCAGGATGCTTCCACATAAGTTTCAGCTTTTCTGGCCCAGTGGTTCCTGAGAAGAAGATTTTCAAAGATTTTTCCTATATCTTTCTATGTAAAACTTTGATACCCCATTGTGGCCCCACCCTTCCCCCGGGGGGTCATGATTTGAACAATTTAGAATCTACACTATACCAGGATGCTTCCACATAAGTTTCAGCTTTTCTGGCCCAGTGGTTCTTGAGAAGAAGATTTTCAAAGATTTTTCCTATATATTTCTATATAAAACTTTGATTCCCCATTGTGGCTCCACCCTTCCCCCGGGGGTCATGATGTGAACAATTTAGAATCTACATTATACCAGGATGCTTCCACATAAGTTTCAGCTTTTCTGGCCCAGTGGTTCTTGAGAAGAAGATTTTCAAAGATTTTTCCTATATATTTCTATATAAAACTTTGATTCCCCATTGTGGCCCCGCCCTTCCCCCGGGGGTCATGATGTGAACAATTTAGAATCTACACTATACCAGAATGCTTCCACATAAGATTCACATTTTCTGGCCCAGTGGTTCTTGAGAAGAAGATTTTCAAAGATTTTTCCTATATATTTCTATATAAAACTTTGATTCCCCATTGTGGCCCCGCCCTTCCCCCGGGGGTCATGATTTGAACAATTTAGAATCTACACTTCCCACAGGCGCTTGACGTTTTTAACCTTTCTCTTTATAAATAAAAATTTTCCCTACTATAATAATAAACCCTTGTTCATTATTATAGTAGGGAAATTTTTTATTTATAAAGAGAAAGGTTAAAAACGTCAAGCGCCTGTGACACTACCCCAGGATGCTTCCACATAAGTTTCAGCTTTTCTGGCCCAGTGGTTCTTGAGAAAAAAATTTTTAATGACCCCATCCTACTATTGTATTTTCTTGATTATTTCCCCTTGGAAGGGATCTTGGCCCTTGATTTTAACAATTAAAATCCCCCTTCACCCAAGGATGCTTTGTACCAAGTTTGGTTAAAATTATAGTATATCTTGAGAAGAAGTCGAAAATGTGAAAAGTTTACAGACGGACAGACAGACAGACAGACGGACGGACAGCTATACAGTTGAGAGGTACATTGTGCATTTTACGGAAGGTGCGGGGTTATCATTTTGCTTTGTGGGGTTATTAAGAGTACAGTGGTGACTTGAGAGGTTTCATTAGGAATTCAAACAAATGGTATATTGTGGGGTTAAAGGTCTATATTTGTGGGGTTAAAGATCTATATTTGTGGGGTTAAGATCTATATTTGTGGGGTTAAAAATTAATTATTTAATATCAAGTCAACTTTACAGGCAACTAATTATAAGTACTTAAATTTGTTACTGTTTATCTGAAGAACTTAAGAACAGATATAGCAATAACATTTCTCAACTACTGCATAGCAGTAACATTGCAAAAAAATGTTTTAATTTGAGGATAAGTGTTGCATCAAAGTAAATTAACCCGTCATGTTTTCACATGAAGATGGTAGACAAGAATATCCCAGAAAGTGTTAAACAAACAACCCCACTATGCTATATAGATATAACAGACAACACTAACCCCATAAATTATAAGACAAACAACCCCAGTATGTATCTTATAAAGATAATAGACAACACTAACCCCATTAAGCGTTTGGACAGCAACCCCACTATGTACTCTCATAAAGATAACAGACAACAATAACCCCATAAAGTGTTTGGACAGCAACCCCACTATGTACTCTCATAAAGATAATAGACAACACTAACCCCATAAAGTGTTTGGACAGCAACCCCACTATGTACTCTCATAAAGATAATAGACAACACTAACCCCATTAAGAGTTTGGGCAGCAACCCCACTATGTACTCTCATAAAGATAATAGACAACACTAACCCCATAAAGTGTTTGGACAGCAACCCCACTAATAAGGCCACTATGTACTCTTATAAAGATAATAGACAACACTAACCCCATAAAGTGTTTGGACAGCAACCCCACTATGTACTTTCATAAAGATAACAGACAACATTAACCCCATTAAGTGTTTGGACAGCAACCCCACTATGTACTCTCATAAAGATAATAGGCAACACTAACCCCATAAAGCATTAGGACAACAACCCCACTATGTACTCTCATAAAGATAATAGACAACACTAATCCCATAAAATGTAACAACCCCATTATGTTCTTAATATATAGATAAAAGATAACATTAACCACACAAAGAACCACAATATGTTCTGATAGAAAATATCAGACATCTTAGTAACCTCAGAGTGTTAAACAAACAACCCCGCTGTGTTCTCATGTAACAGATACCAGTAACCATATGAATTTAAGTGTTTGAAAACCCCAGTATGTTCTAATATCAAGAAACTCTACCAGGGACTGGTAATAAAAGAACAAGTACCCCTACTATGTTCAATCGCAACTTCTCGAGCCTTTCTGACTAGCTGACAAACGACCTCGAATGTATTAGGTAGACGCCATGGCAACAACCCCCCTTTTCATGATCTTCGAAATTAATGCATGAAGACCTTTTATCTGTGGAATATGGAGTTTAACTTTATTCAATGCTATGATATTACATATTAAAATATACTATAAAAGGGACTTCTTACTTCCTCTATCCTATATTTGAAAAAAACAAGAAAAGCATAACCTTTAACATCAGGTGATGTAAAATACATTCGAGGTTGTTTTTCCAAACTCTGACGGAAAGACCCTGAGTGAGATGATGAGATTGCCAGTACGTCATATCTTTTTTTTTACTAAAAATACCAAACAATACTCATAATACTTTTTCCTATTTTGATAACATACTCGAAAATTTGTTTTAAATATTTTTCAAACTATTTTTAATTGGATAATCTCTTTATCTTTACTGCTTATTTCTAATGAGAATTTTTCCTTTGAATCTGCTGGTGCATGAACTTGAAGTGTACATTATGCATCAAAAGCATACATAATTTCATTGTAAATTAATAACAAGAGGCCCAGGGGCCACAGCGCTCACCTGAGCACATCGGGCTTGAATTTACTCCCCTCCCCCCCCCTTCCAGGCGTTCATCATTTGAACAAACTAGAATCTTCACTACCTGAAGATGATTCCACATGAGTTTCATCTTTCCTGGCCCAGTGGTTCTGGAGAAGAAGATTTTAAAAGATTTTTCCTATATGTTCCTATGTAAAACTTTGATCGGCCATTTTGGCCCCACCCTACCCCCGGGGGTCATGATTTGAACAAACTTGAATCTACACTACCTGAGAATGATTCCACATGAGTTTCATCTTTCCTGGCCCAGTGGTTCTGGAGAAGAAGATTTTTAAAAAAGATTTTTCTTATATATTTCTATGTAAAACTTGCGTCGGCCATTTTGGCCTCACCCTTGCCCCAGGGGTCATGATTTGAACAAACCTGAATCTACACTGCCTGAAGATGCTTCCACATGAGTTTCATCTTTCCTGTCCTAGTGGTTCTGGAGAAGAAGATTTTTAAAGATTTTTCCTATATATTCCTATGTAAAACTTGGGTATTTTGGCCCCACTCTTGCCACGGGGGTCATGATTTGAACAAACTTGAATCTACACTACCTGAGGATGATTCCACATGAGTTTCATTTTTCCTAGCCCAGTGGTTCTGGAGAAGAAGATTTTTAAAGATTTTTCCTATATATTCCTATGTAAAACTTGTGTCGGCCATTTTGGCCCCATCCTTGCCCCGGGGGTCATGATTTGAACAAACTTCAATCTACACTACCTGAGGATGCTTCCACATGAGTTTCATCTTTCCTGTCCTAGTGGTTCTTGAGAAGAAGATTTTTAAAGATTTTTCCTATATATTCCTATGTAAAACTTGGGTCGGCCATTTTGGCCCCACCCTTGCCCCGGGGGTCATGATTTGAACAAACTTGAATCTACACTACCTGAGGATGATTCCACATGAGTTTCATTTTTCCTAGCCCAGTGGTTCTGGAGATGAAGATTTTTAAAGATTTTTCCTATATATTCCTATGTAAAACTTGTGTCGGCCATTTTGGCCCCACCCTTGCCCCGGGGGTCATGATTTGAACAAACTTGAATCTACACTACCTGAGGATGATTCCACATGAGTTTCATCTTTCCTGTCCTAGTGGTTCTTGAGAAGAAGATTTTTAAAGATTTTTCCTATATATTCCTATGTAAAACTTGGGTCGGCCATTTTGGCCCCACCCTTGCCCCGGGGGTCATGATTTGAACAAACTTGAATCTACACTACCTGAGGATGCTTCCACATGAGTTTCATCTTTCCTGGCCCAGCGGTTCTGGAGAAGAAGATTTTTTTAAATGCCATGAATTTTTAACAAATTCATGATTATCTCACCTTGGAAAAGGGTGTGATCCTTTATTTGAACAAACTTGAATCCCCTTCACCCAAGGACACTTTGTGCGAAGTTTGGTTGAAATTGGCCCAGTGGTTCTTGAGAAGAAGATGAAAATGTGAAAAGTTTACGACAACGACGACGACGACAACAATGACAACAGACAACGGACAAATTTTGATCAGAAAAGCTCACTTGAGCCTTCGGCTCAGGTGAGCTAAAAATGATGGGATTTAATTTTTTAAAAGGACATCATTGTCATGAACTACAATGCTTCTCATCATCATGTTTTAATTTGCAAAGTATTTTGAAGAAAAATTAATAAAGAATATTGAAGAAGCATATTTTGGAAATGTAAAAATAATAAAACAGTAGTCTATTTATGAGTATATCTATCTAGTATAATGAGTTTTAAGAACTGTCAAAGTAACATGTTTATATATTTAGACTTCAATCAACATCAGTTATGTAATCAGTGAAGAGAGGCTAACCATTAAAAGTATTGGGGTCAGTGGATGTGTCAGTGTGAGCTTTCTTCTTTCTTGCAGCCATCATCTTCTTCTTTCTCTGTCTGGCCATCAGTAACATCACTCCAATTGTAGCTAGCAAGGAAAAAAAAATAAACAGGTTAAAAATACTTAAAATTTCTCATCATTCTAAAACATTTTAAACAAATATTTCCATTAATTCACTGTCTTTTAATATTCTTAAAGTCAAAATGATGTTAATGGACTGTCTACAATTTCAATGGTATTTACACCCTTGTTCATGAGATATATATTAATCAATGCAAATCTATGATATCTACCTGGCACTACCAATCCAATCCAGATGAAGGTTAAAGGAAAAGATATATTGCTTTCCATTCCAAAGAAGTAATCAAACGTCTGCCATGATGTGCAGTTCTCGATCAGATACAGAGATCCTGTGGCATTGCTTTCACGGACTGTTACTGGGGCCACATTAGGGTCTAACTGTTGAGGCTGCTGACAGGTATCATCTGTTTTTTTAAAGACAATCACCAATCATACGTGTATCTATTTATGTCTTCAGTAAATATTGCTTTTACATGCTTTAAACTGCAGAGGCTGATGAATCATGGAACTCATTTTCCTCTGAACGTACAAGAATATCAAACTGATGTACATAAATTCCAATAAATTCTGTTTAAGCATCTCTAAAAAAATTTCATAAAATGAAAAGCAATTCCTGTCAATTTCAGGAGCATACGGTCCAGAGGTGCATATGGAAAATTAAACCCTTATACTTCAAAATGGTGCAGTGTTGTTAGACAAGAGTAATCTCTTTTTAACAAATATATATGTCGATTAAATGTGGCAAAATTGTATATATTCAGTTGATAGAATAAAATACTCCTGTAAGGATGGCAAGTTTGCACTTACTATCTCCTCTGTGTACAAAAGGATCGGCCTGTATGTCCGCCTGATTTCTACTGACATTGATATTATTGCGATCTAATTGACCCTCTACTCTCAAGTTGGTCACTTTAGACAAAATGTAACCGAGGGTGATTTCATTATTGATACGGTCTATTTCTGTTTGGTTGAAGATTCTAAAAAGAAGACAATTAGGGTTTTATGAGTTCAGCTGAAACAGAAAGCAATACTGTAAATCTGGAAATTTTTGCTGTAGATAAATTTTTAGCAAATTTGCGAGTTCATTGCATTCGCAAAAATATTTTTCTTAAAAATAAATTACCTAAAAGAAAATGTAAACAAAGCAGTGGTCATTCGCAAAATTTTGAAACGCAAAAATTAATCAACAGCATTTTGACCCGAATTCGCAAAATAAAATTGACGTAAAAATTTCCAGATTTACGGTACTTACGCTCCAAAAATATAAGTTTGACAATAAGTAGAAGATGAGAGACCCATCTAGTCCATGTTAGTTCATATGTGCAATTTTATCAATGGATGTGTATTCAACATAAATTATGGGTATATATTAATAAATGATAGAAATGTTTTAAAAATTAAAGGTTAAATCCGCACTATCTTGCCTGCATGGTGTTTAGCAAGACAGGACTAACTATTAAAATATATGTATTGTAGTTATAGTCTAACTGCCATTACTTTTTATTTAGAATTATAAATCGAACTTTTAACATTGTAAAATTATAGTACGTTGTCTACTTGTGTGTGTTAGTCAATAATTTTTTAAAACATGTTAATGTTAATTAATACATTAAAGTTTATTTCAACACTACAGTTAAATAATTCAACAAAACTAGAAAATCTTTATTTATTCAACAAAAATGAATAGAGTATTAGAGATATAAACTCTAACTTCTCTTTATTTTTACGAAACTATCAGAGACACAGAGAAAAGACCTACACTGGTGACTTACTTGTTGTCCAAGTTCTCGTACCAAAACCTGTCCCCGTCTCGGATTCTACAGAACTGCTCTACCATCATGACCCTGAACAAGTCTCCAGGCCCATCCTCTGTGGTCTCCATCAAACCTCCTGTAAATAGGTCCACATCCTCTGGCGACGTCCCATTCAGTCCCGAACCTTCGTACAGAAGTCGCAGCGCCTCAATAGCCTAACATTAGGGACAGAACTCTTAGTATTTGTGTCTACGCTTAACCAAAATTTATAAATCAAAAGTAAATAAATTAATTTCCTTAAATACAAAAAAGATCAATAATTAAAAGGTATTTTCATTTTATAATGCATCTGACATTATGGGACCCAATGATAATGAAATATTCAAAGCTTTACAATGCACAGTCAGAGTTAATTTAGCTCTAAAATATATCTCTGATTTCTCCCTTATATAAAAATGACAGCTAGGAATTCCTTATTTACTATGATCAATCAGTTTTAAGTAAAAACAGAACATCTTACGTTTCTTTTAAAAAAAAGACCCCCACCCCAAAAATAAGGAAGACAGTTTAATATGAATTTAAGGATGGAAATTAATTAAGGAGGGTTATAAGTCAGCCATTAAATATGATATGTTAGGGCCATCCTTCGTTCTTATTTCTGCTTTTCTACCACTACTTCACACTGTTTTTAAATGGTTATAATTAGCGCATAACATCAAACAAGTGCCGAAATTTACCTGTATTTCCTCCCCACAATTTCACTCGGTAGTGAGTACAAACTCACAATGTGATAAAAATTGAATGAATTTTAAATTTTACAATGATTGATGATAAGTTTTAAGGATCCGAAGTTGTTCAAACAGAAAAAAATCGTGGTATACCAAAAGTGTATATAATATATACCCCGGTATTATATCCAAGCTCACACCAAAAATATGAAAACGAGCATATTTGTTTGGTGGATCTATTAATACATAGACCAGTGCTTGTTTGTAATCTAATGTTTTATTCAGTGGCTGTAATCAGTTTTCTTCTCCAGTGTTTTACAAGACTTATCCTGCTTAAAATCCTAATTCCACTTCCTAGTGGTAAGCAGTGAGCAACATGTTTTACCTGGCTTAAGGAAGATGACTGATGTACATACTTAGAGCTGGTTGCAATAGACCTAACGGATTGCACTATTTGTGACGTGCTGACGCTTTGCTTGTCGAGAAGTTTAAATACTACATCACATTCTCACCACATCAAAGGACGTAACCGAGATCGCGTCTCTCCCACGCTAAAGTCGGTCAGCTGAAACATACAGCGTGTTTGTTGGGTTCAAAAAACGGAGTAGACAGCCCCGATGTTGATTTCTTGAATATTACCTGCACAGTTAAATGTCTTTAAAACTTGAATTAACCAATTAAAACATTTTATGTTTTTTTTTCCCAGTCCATTTCGAATATTTAAATTGGTCGATTATTTTATTCTATTGTAAAATTTATCTTTTTCATACTTGCGTACATGTATAGTACATGATTCATTGTTCAATAGATTTATTAGTTTCGCGTATCAATCCAAGTCATGCACTCTGAGATTGTTGCCATTTACTAGAGAGTAGTACAAAATACTGCTGAAAATTAGAGCCCCCTCTCTGTGCATATATTTGTATTCGAGACAAATGGTACAGAGGGGAGGCCGGGGCAGACGTGACGTGTGCATTAATGTTAAAATTTTATCGATTGATGTTCAATTTTTTTTTTATATTATAGAAACCATATATAGTTCTTTGTATGTATAGTATATTTAATATAAAGCCTAAATCTAAATAAACATACACTTCCTGATTCCTAGAGAGGGGCGTGGCAGATTTTGGAAATAAATAGGCTGTTCCAAAAAAAAAACTATCCTCGACCAGCAAGAAAATAAATAATTTTGGCTAGTTCTTTTAACCCCCGACCCCACCTGAAAAAGAGATTCCCTTTTTTCTTTAGTCAAACTTTTTTTCAGATAAAAAAAGAAAATGTTATCCGTCCCTGACTTACATTATGATATGAAAATAAATAACCTGAAGTGGAAATTTCACCAGCCCCCTCCTGGGCGTCCATTTACTTACACAGTGTATGTATTCATTTTCTCAAGGTGTACATATATATTATATATACAGCTGCTGTAACAAGGAGCAATCTTCTCTAGTTCCCTTTTTCTTTCACTTGCGTTAATACAAAATAAATATAAAAAACAATTTCAAGTATGAATTCTTGATAAATATTTTGGAAGCTATTTTCCGTAAACGTCGTATTAGATTAAGTATGGCACATTAGATCTGGGAAAAAATAAAATGAATCGCGTAATTATTAAACATTGCCATAAGTATGTGATAAAGTTGTCCCACAGTTGCTGAAATCGCACCTGTTTCGTTTCTAAACCCCCTCCCCCATATATGAAGGATGTTGATGTTTACAAAATCCCTGCGTACGTAGTGCTCGGCATTGTGTTCCCTGTTATGGATATAAATGTACTTACAATGTACTGCAATCTCAGTTTTACAAAGGATTGCGAAAATGTGTTTTGCACATTTTTTTTTTTTTAATTCTACAGTAGTATGTCTTATATGAGCAATCAGAATGGGTTTAATGTTTGCTAAATGATAATTAAAAATTAAGATCGTGTGCCAAATTTATGAAAAATCCAGATCATTTTTTAAACACCAATGATACAAAATGGCGAAATATATGTATGCAGCGTTTCCTGGAGAGAGAGAGAGAGAGAGAGAGAGAGAGAGAGAGAGAGAGAGAGAGAGAGAGAGAGAGAAACTATCATACGTGTGTATTTTTTTTGCTAAGCAAAAATATGCACAAGTTTTAATTCATTTAGTATTTTGACATAATTTATGCTCTTTTTCAGCTGTTTAATAAGATTTGTGCAGGAACTATTCGATAAAAGGACTGGATTGTCTGTCCGCTTTTGTAAACCCGTTTAAACCGTCGACAATGTGTATTGCAGCTGACCGACTTTAGCGTGGGAGAGAAGCGATCGCGGTTACTTCCTTTGACGTGGTGACAAGGTGACGTAGTATTTAAACTTCTCGACAAGCAAAGCATGAGCACATCACAAACAGTGTAATCCTTTAGGTCTATTGCAACCTGCTCTAATTAAGTTGCAGAAAAGTAAAAAATATAATAAGCTTTAAATCAAAGAAATGTCAAACTACTATAAATGTACTTGATTTCTAAAATTATTAGATTTAATTTTAAAGATATCTTTTCAATCTTAAATAATGTAGGTTTTAATGTTTAATTAAGTGGTCATGCAGTTGATAAAGTCATTACTAGTAATCAGTCACATACCTGCTGGGTCAGAGTATTATTGGGGTTAATTTCCTGCCAGCTGTTCAGGCGAGGAAGGCCAAATGTTTCTCTGATAGTCTGGTAGTCAGTTAGACCATGGTCTCTAGCTCTCTGGATGTTAAGGGCAGCTAAATCTCGTCTGGAAAACTCCAGGGGACCAAACACTTGTCCTACAAATAAAAGAGACCCATGGACCACAATGCTCACCTGAGTATTTTTGGCCCTGCTGTTCTTCACCTGATTTCCCCACTTGTAATACCTATTGTGGCCCTACCCTACACCCAGGGGTCGTGTTTTGAATAAATTAAATTTGAAATCTACACTACCCAAGGACGCCTCTAGATAAGTTTCAGCTTTTCTGGCCCAGTTTATGGTTCTTGAAAAGAAGATTTTAACTCAACATTTTTCCTATATATTTTATATTTATCCCCTATTGTAGCCTTGCCCTACCCCAAGTGGTCATGATTTGCACAGTTTAGAATCTTCACTAACCCAGTAAGCTTCCACATAAGTTTCAGCTTTTCTGTTCCAGTGGTTCTTGAGAAGATTTTTCCTATATGTGTTAGTGTAAAATTTGGATTCCCTGTTGTAGCCCGCCCTAACCCCACGGGTCAAGATTTGAACAATTTGGAATCTACACTACCACAAGATGGTTCCCCACAAGTTTCGGCTTTACTTGCCCAGTGGTTCTTGATAAGAAGATTTTTCCTATACAAATCAATGTAAAACTTAGACTCCTTATTGTGACACCACCCTTCACCTAGGGTCATGATTTGAACAATTTAGGATCTACACCCCAGGATGCTTCCACATACGGTAAGTTTCAGCTTTTCCTATACATTTCAATTTAAAACTTAGATTTCTTATTGTGACCCCACCCTACACCCTGGGGTCATGATTTAAACAATATAAAATTTACACTGCCCTAAGATACATCCACATAAGTTTCAGCTTGTCTGGCCCAGTGATTCTTGAGGAGATTTTTTAATGACCACACCCTAAAAATATTCGTCTTTTTGGATTATCTCCCCTTGGAAGGGGAGCTGGCCCTTTTAAACTCCCCTTCATCTAAGAATGCTTTGTACCAATTTTGTTAAAATTGGCCTAGTGGTTCTTGAGAAGAAGTTAAAAATGTGAAAAGCTAGCTAGTTTACAGACAAACGGAAGCTAGATGGACAGTTGGATGGACAATGGGTGATCAGAAAAGCTCACTTGAACTTTCAGCTTAGGTGAGCTAAAAAAAAAAACATCCAAGTGGCAAACTAAAAATATGTCACAGGTTTTTGAAAGAAGCAATTTTATTTGAAGACATGCATCTATGCATAAATTTAAGACTAATCTTTGATGAGACTGCAGCTCCATTGTTTCAGACTTTTAGACTACCATGTAAATGCTGGCTTTTCAGACAATCAGACATCTATCTTTTACCGGTAATTCATTATTTTTGAGATGAAGTAATGAAATGAAGATTAGATTTATAAATATCTATTTTTTATGTATTTCTTAAATTTTGCTCATACATGTATGTATATAAGCAATGTGCACAAATGTGTATGACTCAGTTTGGATGAATGTAAGGAAATATTAACATTATCAGAAGAGGATTTCAGGTAAAAAGGTCTTACTAACTTTCCCTCTTTATTTGTTTGAACTTATAGCGCAGATTTAGCCAACCATATAATGGGAATATATAGTGATCATCTAATTTTGGCATTACATGTATTTGGCAATGGTTTTGGTATCATCAATATATATAAAGTGTCATTAAAATTTCAGTCATATATATTGTCTTATAAAATAAAGAAAGTTAAACCTAAAATTGTGAAAATTAAACTAATAATGCTGAAAATAAATGGGCATTTTTGGATAAAATCATTAACTTGATGGTGACTAGAATAACCCATTATATGGAATTTAAATCTATTTCAGCCCTCTCCTTTTCTGACCTGCCAAGTCTTCTACCATGATGTGGTCTTCCTTCTCTCCCAGAGTGGAGGCAAGGCCTCTGTACAGAGCATCCAGGTTCTCCTCGACCGATTCCTGCAGGACAAAGCTACCATTATTGTCAAATCAATACACTGTTACATCGGTTATTACAGCTTAAGAAAATATTCATTGATTAAAATTTACACTGTAATAGAAATAAGTTCATAGGTTTATATTGTATTGCATTATGGCTATTGATCGAGGAAATGAAATTCAAAGAATTCTAGAGAATATCCTTAAATTTCAATTATTCCATCAGATTACAATACTACCTACATCAACATTACTCCTAAATTCTGGTGGGCTTTACAGAACCTTAGTCTACATATAACATGAGAGTTCCTGTAGAATTACAACCTAATCTGCATTACCTGTGGTTTCCCATTGTCATATAGCAGAGGTTTAGAAGGTATTCCCAGTATTGAATTTTGGGAGGCATTAAAACATGTACGAAGCTTAAGTCTGCATTACCTGTGAATTCCAGTAGGCATTACAGAGCCTCAATCCATGTGTCTGCTGTACAGGGGGGTTGGGTAATCTCAGATTAGTTGGGAACCAGTTACATCCTTGTTGTAACTGGTTTCCTGTCTTTGCCCCCCTTGAAATAACAGAATAATTCTTTTTTCAAGTTGTGAAATTGAAATACAATACAGATACCAGTATAGTTAAAAAAAACATTGTAGCTAATGCCCTGTTCACACAACAAGTTTAATTTGCAGTAAATTAATGCGAAGTAAACTAATGCAAATCAAACTAATGCTAATTTAATTGTGTTCAAGCTACAGCTAATGCAAAGTAAACTAATGCGAATTAAATTTTACTTCGACAGTCTGGCGTCAGTAAGGCTATATATGACGTCATTAGCAAATCACGTCACCTTATGCAGAAGCAGATGCATTTGACATAATGTCACAGTGTCTGTACACATATTTTAGTGATTAACAAATTTTTTCATAGTTTTTCACTCAAAATAGCACAAGTACTTAAAACTGACCACCGACATGACGCAATTGACTTAATTTTGCTATTACGCATGCCCCAAAATTTAATTTGAATTAGCTTCGCTTAGTGTTCACAAGGAGATAATGCGAAGTAATTTAATGCGCAGTAAACTAATTCGAATTAAACTTATTCGCATTAAATTCCCCGTGTGAACGCTAAGCGAAGCTAATTCGCAGTAAACTTACGTTTAATTCGAATTAAACTCTCCGTGTGAACAGGACATAAATTTTAATATATATCTTCCAAGAAATTTTCACAGAGGGTCTGCATGGTTTTTGCCTGGCTCAGTTTTTCATAGACATGTATATAAATAAAAGAAAACTCTGTAAGATTTAACATTATTTTGTTTCTTTCTTAATTATCTCCCCTTACAAGAGGGAAGGTCCTCTATTTGAACTTTTTCTTTTTCTTCACACAGGAATGCTTGGAGTCAAATTTGATTTACATCGGTCCTGTGCATGGTTCAATAGCCAAAGTTAACAGATAGATGAACAGACAAACAACTAGGTAGTTAAATAGTTTGATAAGAGAAGCTCAGTTGAGTCTTGTAACCTTAGTTTTCATACAAGGTTTGTTTATGATTGTTAGATCAGATAGTTTTAAGTTCCTATAATTATAATTTTGATGTAGCATTCATCATAAGTATTCAGCTTTCAGGTTCTATAACATAACTACCTTCTCCAAAGACCAGGAGTAACAAGGGTGTGGCCATATCTCATTGCTGCTGTCTGAAACTCAGTGGTTATACCTGGGTGGATATTTGGGTTGTAAGCTGCAATAAATAAAATACAACATCCACATAAGAATTTATCATTAATTCATACACATAATAAAAGCATTTTCTTTCTGACAAACATATTAAGAATCCTTAATACGGAAACCAATAGTAAAACAAGTGAAAAGAAAGAGACCTTGCCCTGGAAGGATGATGGCTAGTCACTTAAAAAGTCAGTAAATAATTAACTGTTTTGAAATGCATCTGAAAAATGATTTCATTAATAACTCACAAGTAACAAAATGTTTTATAAAGGTTTCAAATTTATTTTTTTTTTTCAGTTCATCTTATTCTTAACTAGTTGTTAATTTTAAAAGAAATGGAAGAACATCGCATGCCTGTCTAGTGGATATACCAGTAGATCGAGGCAAAGAAATTACAACTGACACCTTCATTTTATCACCATTTCCAGATTATCTCCCATTGGAATTGAGAACACTATCTTTCATATTAAAATTAAATTCTCCTCGCCAAAGAATGAATACTTTTGTATCAATTTTGATTAAATATTTTCAAAAAAAGGGATGTTCAAAATCTTACAGAAGTACATGTATATAACAGGCCAGAATGGATAAAACACATAACAATTAAAGGTTAACTCCCGAGACTTTTAAAAACGATCAGTGAAATAACTATAAAGACACAATTGATTCCTTTAATAACCATAGACAGGTTTATGAAAAAGATCTCCTAATTTACTAAAGAGTATTTCAATTTGCCAAGTTAAGTCTGGCATCACTTCATAAATATTCAGTATCTCATTAAATTATGAGAATGAATGAATGAATGAATCAGGTAGCATCCCTACTGAATCATTCCAGCTTAATCATAACTTACTTTTTCTTTTACAAGAACTAAAATATTTAAAATGTTCTAACTTTAAAGTTTTTCAACATTAAACATTTAATTGTCATTACCATAAGGTCCACAAGTTGGCCTTCTGGGGTCATTGTTTTTTGGATCTCTGATTGGATAAAATATACTCTCATCATTTGTCACGTTGGCAAAATCGCTTCGAGTGAACAGCCATCTTGGTAACCAATCATACAAGACTATTTTCTGTTCATAGAAGAATGAACTTTGATAATAATTTTGACTGATAAAGCATCTGAAATACTTTACAAATTTTTTCTTCAAAACCTATAATGAACTCTCGAATATCTCTCTGTTGTTTCTTGGTCCAATCAAGTTTGGGGTACCATATAAACCCTATTAACCGCCCCAGGCGCTTAGACAATTGCAAAAAGGGGCGGTTATTTTGGTATACTCTTTATGATATTTAATGTCATATTTTAACTACAAAAAGTCTTTTGAAGAAAAAGGATAAATACAAGAAACCACTAAGATAATGTCTAACTTTACTTTAAGTGAAGATAATCCACCAAAATATGCTAAATTATTCATTTTCCACTGAGAAATTGGATAATAGACAATTTTTCTTTTCACTTTCTTTATTTTTTTGATACGTTTCTTGTTGATTTTAGTCACTGTAAAGGGGGCCCTTATTTCCTGACAATTGAAAAAAACTAGAGATGGCAATTTGTAACCGATTAATCGGTTGGAATGATGCTAATCGGTTAGTCAGAAAAAATAAAATTTATGTAAATTTTAGCGCAGTTTCCTTAAAATTCCTTTTGTTTTTTTTTTTAGAGAGGAAAGAGCTGCATTTTCTAGATTTTTATTTAGTATTTTTACACATCTAATTAAGAATAGTTGGAGGTAATTATAGCTCTCCAGATTGAGATTGCAGGGTAATTGGTCCATTCGTAAAATGTTAATTACTGTTCTTATAACATCATGCAGTAACCCAGATCAGATAGTCCTGTGGTTTTTTTAATGATACTAAAAACATCACCGTTAAGCAATTATAGTATGTCTATATTTTACATTATCTATTAAATTACATTATTATAAAGAACGTTGTAAATTGTAAACAAAGTCAGAGTTCAGACATGGATTAGTTCTGATTTTGGTGACAACGCAGAATTAACTTCTTTAACATCTGTGTTGGAAAATTATCTCTGTCTGATTTATCCATGGTTTCCTTAATTTTTCTTGTCTATTGAAATTCAAATAAAATATACGTTTATGTACATAAAATTCCCCGATCAAAATAATAAACAGAATGTAACTTCTAATGTCTTTGTAGCCTTTTTGTGTATATGAAAACAAAATGTCAAAATGTATATCTTGATACGACTAACCGAATAATCGGTCGGAATGTTTTGCGGTTAACCAATTAGCAATTCTGCAATCGATTGCCATCCCTAAAAAAAAACTAAGGGGGCGCTTATAGGGGCAGGGGCGGTTAATAGGGATTATACGGTAATGCTATTTCTATTCATAGTAAAACTTGTCTTTTCACGGCAGCAATGATTTCCACAGAAATTGACTGGACTATACACTCATTTCCAGATTAAACTACATTTCAAACAATTTAAAAAAATACTAAGAGGAATTTAACTTTAAGTTTACATCACACAATTTCAGGATACAAACCATCTAAATATTAGACAAGTTTCAATGTAGAGATTATTTCTATAGAACTTAAACAGCTTAATGGACAAACCTGATGACTAGCAACAACCCATTTTCTGGCATAATTAAAGATCTGTTCATCATATTTTTCCAGGTCACTTTCTTGAATATTTTTCATTCTGATATACTCCTCTGCCAGGTAGTTGTGCCATCTAAACCACAGCACACCAAAGGACAGAAGGAATGGATTCTCCATAGCTCTGGGGTTTCCTAGTCCTACAAGAACATTCTCACTTTAAAGACAGAAATTACTGTACATCAAACATTGTCATTTGTAAAATCATGAATCTAAGCCATTAGACCAAACTACATATACAAAAATCTTTTTAACTTGTATTGGCTACTTTGGAAATGAGAAGAAACAAATAAAATTTAAACCATGTCAGGTGAAGTTTTGGTACTGCCATTTAGTGAAATAACTTTTTCAAAACCAATTTGATTAAATAAATAAATAAATAACTGTTGTATAAAAAAGATATAACAGTCGGCAAATGAAAGGACGAAATCTTGAAAATCATTCTTTGAAGAATATATCCTAAACGTTGCATCATAATGGGCCTCAGACAGAACTTACTCCAGAATCTTGCCACGGGCAGGAGTCTCCTTTCCCTGGTATTTTCTCTGGGGTTGGGGGGATTGGCAAATGGTAGACGGATGTCATTGATGGCTGGAAGACTCTCCTGCACGGGTTTAGAGGGATCAAGAGCTAAGAGTTTTCCACCCCTGAATTCTCTAATGGCATCTGTCCATGTTCTAGCTGGTCCATACATAAGCTGGCCATCTAGATAGGGTGTAATCTCATTCAGCTGCAAGGTAGATTTAATATTATATTTCAAAGTAAAGGGTTAGAGATCAGTTGTAACAGGCTAGGGGCAGCTAGAGGTTTGTGAACAGAATCTCTATGGACCTTATAACAAATTTTTATTTCAAAGCATTTTTGTCAATTATTATATTAGGGAAAACATAATAATACTAGTGTATATTTAATAGAATTATCAGGTATTGAAAATAAATGAAACAATTTCAAAATAAAAATTGGTTATCATAATGATTATAAAAATCATTCCAATGAAGAAATAAGAAACATTACATTCAGTGATTTTAAAAAAGGAGAATAAACTCTTATAAATTCTCTTCATCTCTTTAAATTTAAAAATCTAGACTCTTGTACTTGTTGTCTTGGGTTGCTTGGAGCTTGTCCGGTCCTCTGATCAAATCGTGACCTGGGGAACGGCATGAAGACCGTGTCTCTGGCATTTCGGAATGCCTCACTGTCCCGGTAAAGTGTATTGTTCCGAGGGACCGGGATATTCTCATACTCTCTCGGGCATCCAGGGCGCTGAACGTCCATGATTTCCTCCACAACTTGTTGTCCTGTTGATATCAATGAAAATTTCAATTTCACATTTTAAGTACAGACGTGTAGTTTATTTTTGTTGAATCAATTTGAATTAGGAAAATGATCCTTCTCATTGTGTTAAAGCGGTTGTAGAAATCTCACAGTGACAAAACCGCAAGCAATACAGTCTCTGGTGGAAACTTGAGGTAACACTTGAAAGATTCTGGATTCTAGAGAATATTTAAAGGAAAAATGAATTCTTTTCAGGAGGAATATTTTTTATCTTTATTTCTCCATCGTTGTCATGGTTAATGGTGAGATTTAAATGTTCAGTGAAATCAATTTTAAGCTTAAGAGTAAAGCCCTTAGAAGCTCCTGTCTTAAAAAGCAACCAAATAATAATCTAAGATGAAGTTGGAAATTTGAAGCCCCCCTTCAACTATTGATGAAGACCAATGTAATTGACATAGCCTAGCTAAGGTATTAGCATGAATGGGAACCCTTAAATGTTAAAAAAAGTTTCTAAGATTGACAAAGAGTGATTTAATCTTTCTCAAAAGGCAATTAATGGTCAACCTTAGACCAGGACTATCTGTAATTCATAGCTTAGCAATTTTGAAACTCAACAAAAATGTCTACTATAAATTTCTTTTTTTATCTTCAGACATGTGCAATCTCACAAATAGTTTCTGACCAGCAACTATATAAATGGTTTACCTGGATGCATGATTAAAGATGAATGAAAAAAATTAATATACAAATACTGTAAATCAATTTACTTCACTGACAAAGGATATATACAGCAATAACCAGCATTGTCTAGCTAAATATACCAAATACCTATCTCGCAAGAAATAAGGTGGTGCAAATATTTGGTGATTTACAGTAAACTGCTTAGTTATGGAGGATATAAGGAGAATATTCTACACTGCAATTCAAACACAATACCCACTAAAATTCAATCACTTTCATTAATACCGGTACATGTATAACAAAGAAAAAGAAGTTTTCTTTCAGTTTGGGAAGTATAGTTTTACATTTGGTATTTAGTAGGTATAACTTTTTTTTTAAAAGTTCTTCCAATAGAAAGTTTTAACCATTCAGTATATATATGTTGTATGTGGATGTTTATAATTCTTCTGATTCAGTAAATACCTATAACTATTAAATCACACATTACCGAAATAGACCTGCATGGCAGTTCTTCCTCGGACTGACCCCAGGGATTGGGGGGTGTTGGATCTGTGTGCCCGTTCACTGATGTCAAACGGATTAGGTCGATTCTGTCCAGAAAGAAGGTAGACTCCATCTGCATAGGCTGGTGGACTTTTACGTAATAAGACCGTCTCTAAAGAAAATAATTATTAATGTTAAATAGCATTTTATTTGATAATGATCCCCCTCCCCCATCAAATTAAAAAAAATTCTGATTACGCTCAAGAGTTTGAGATATTCAGTATATGAATTTATCATCCAGAAATGGATTCATTTTTTTCTCACGTTTGACTTAATTAATTCTTGATTATTAAATAACTTTGAAATACTTTAAGTATTAGGGAAAAAGATTTTTTTTCTAAGAAGGGGGAGGGTGTGATATCTTCCTAATTTAGCACTTACCAACAGCTCCCCAGTCCGGGTGTAACAAGTTATTAAAATATCCATCCAAGGGATGTAACTCTGGACTTTCCTCTTCTATTTCCTGGCATTCTGTGGAAAGAAATAATTGGTTTTTATATTTTGTGATCCATTAAAAAACAACAGAAAAAGGAACAATTAAATTTAATATGAGAGGATTTAGAAATTTAAAAGAGAAGGGGCATGAAGAGCAATTATTATAAATTATCCTACAAGTTACTCTCATGGGCCGCCATCTTGAGGGTCATATTTTTAGTATCCAATTTTAAACTTATAGAAGAATCACAGGTGCTTCAGGACAGACCCCCCTCCCCCCCCCCTTATATAGACCCCCGAGCCTGTTAAGTCTGTTAAGCCTTTTTTCACATAAATTATATATGGATGACACACTGATATAATCTATCCAGGGACCTATATACCTATATAGGTCCCTGATCTATCCTATCAATTCAGAAAATTTGCTTAAACATTTATTAAAAATTTCTACCCCACTCTGTATATAAATTTGTATAATTATATAGAATGTAGGGTAGATTTTATAGAACGTTTGTTTTAGGTAATTTTTCGATTTGTTGGTATAGATCTTATCACAATATGTCAACGAAAGATTATTTATGATAAAAAAGTCGAAAAAGCCCAGGGGTCTACATCAAAGGGGGGAGGGGGTCCTGTCGTGAGTACAATTAGAAAGTATTAAATATTTTTAAAGATAGTATAGAAGTTATGAATCAAAGGAGGCTCTAACAACTGTATATATACTTTTCTGCACCTCAATGTTTAGTATAGCAAATTTAAATTGGTCTAATTTTTAGCAAGAGTTATCTCCCGTTGACCGCTGTACTACAAACGCATAAACTTAATCTAAGAATTAAGGAGAAAATGGACTAGCGTGAATTAAATAAAATGCATTTCAAAATACAAACAAAGCCAAACAGCGATTTTCGATTAAAGGAATTTTGTCCCCCTACCTGAACGAATGTCGGGGGGGGGGGGGGGGGTAAAGGAGACAAGAAACATGGAAAAAGGAAAGAACTCAATCAGAACAAAAGAAGAGTAGAGCAGTCGTAAAATGCCGAAGCTACACAATGTAGAGAGGATACGTGGCCTTAGATCTCAACATGGAGAGACGGAAGTAAAGTAAATCACATCAAACGGATTATTGCAGTAACAACTAAAATATGATTAAGATTTGACTTGTTAGAAGTCCGTGTATTTCGAACTGACAATACCGGTGTATGAACGGTTCGGCCACTATCGTGGTTTTAATTCTTTAAAATGCTACCGTTGCCATGGAAACAAAAAGGGAAATAATTTTTTTTTATTTTTCATGAAAAAAGTTGCTTATAAATAGTCTCCGCTGTACCATTGACGGCAGTACGAAGGACTCGCTTGCAATTTGCAAAGTTTCTCGTTCTAATTTCATATGTGTGTGTTCCAGTTTTTCATTATTTCTTGCAATAACAATTTGCTTTACGAAACAAGCATTTTTGTTTCAATGCACTTCTATGGTTATGTATATACATACCAAGATACGAACAGTGAATATATAATCGGCATAATTTTATTATCAAAATCAACATCATCAAAATTCTTCCTGTTAAAATACAAGATATTTCAAGCCAATGGGAAAAAGAAGAGATGGTTAAAAATATAAAAACTGCACTTCCGCACAATAGTAACAGCTTTAGAGGGTAAACCACTGAAGTGCCTGAAGATGTTACTTTGATCTTACACGACTTTTCCACATACATAAATATATTTATACATAAAGTATCATGACGATCCACTCCTTTTCGTGAGGAGAATAGGCACGCCTTTTTGTGCTGATGCAGTTGCATTCTAAGTATTAAATGCAAGGAAATATTTTCTTTCATCTATTGATTGATTGGATAAACAAGTTTTCTTTTTGATAATTTAGAGTGCATTTAATGGCATCTGAAAAGAGTAAATGGTTGAATTTTCGATCAGCTCCGGTACTCGAAACAAAATGGATATTTTGTTTAAATAAAATCTGCTTATATTAGACAATTTTAACCTCTCTTTCTCCGTAAATGAATTACCCTGGTTAGACATGTATCTCCACTCGTTATAATACGCAAGTGATTGTTACAACTTACGTAAAAGGATACCGGTATACCGTTTTGCGTTTCATTTGTCCAATAATATATATTTTCAATTTTTCGATAATATTCTTTTTTTGTCTTTCAGAAAAATAAAATACGTTAAGCATGCAATGTTAATAATGGGAAAATACTTTCGAAGCGAAATGTGAATAACAAAACTCACTTTAATGCTTCTTAAATATTATAAAATTGTTAACTTAATTTGGTTATTAAATGGCATTACAAGTTTTATATTCTCCTTCCGTGTGATCACAACGGAAATACTAAAACGAGACAATGCGTTTCAATTTCCGAAATCGGCTGAATAAGAGTCATCCCGAGTTTATACAACAGTATCCGGTGTAACAGAAAGCTTAAAGACAGCAACTGTACAAATGTCATCTAGTAATATTGCAGATTCGAAACCCCCTTTTTACAAACACGCACGAGAGAGAGAGAGAGAGAGAGAGAGAGATTGTTGCAAAAACAGATCGTTTTTATTCTTAAATATGCCAAAGGCATCGGGGTCAGATTATATGATTTATATATTTTGGGGAAGGGGGGTACGTATAATTGCATATACATGTAATTTCATGTGACGAAATTAATGCAATTTCTTTGAACGTTTTTCAAGCGAATGTTCGTAAAATTTTCATTTCACTTACGTAAAAAGCAATAATTATATTCCTTTTCCAGTGAAAATTAACGAAATTTGAATTGCTATCTGCAAAAGACCCAATTATGCAATGCTAATTCATCTAAAGTAAAAAAGAAAGAGTACCTGACGAGGTCAGAATGGCCAGCGCCACCAACACGATCTTCACATCCATAGCGATGTCATGGAGTGGACCGAAATGTCTTCTCTAAAGCTATTGCGAGATGTGAATCAGTTTCCTTCTGCGTCACCCTAACACGTTATCCAGATCCTCACACGGAAGTGGACTGGATAGTTTTCAGTTTTCCCCACCTGACAGTCGATTTTACAAAAAAAGAAAGGATGCCTAATTTTTCACTCCTAGGGTACTCATAAAATTATTAAACACATTTTGTCAACAAATATTTTTTTTTACATTTATAGTACTTATTCGCCCGACAAAATTTCCTTGATCAAGTGAATGAACGCTTGCAACCTACAGAGAGGAAGAGAACAATCGAATAATTCAATTCCGTTGTATCAAAATCCCTTTTCACTCGAGGATAGAACCTGTTATAACCAACTGGGTCAAGGATGAAGTGGACGTTAGTGAGAGAGGGGGACAGCAAAAAGAGTGACCGATACAACTCTAGAGACCCCCCCCACGCTTTACTGATGGTTAAGCGAAGTTTAAAGATATCAGCGGGGAAGGGGTGATGGTTAAAATTTATTAAAATCAAAACTTGTAGATATTTCTTCTGCTATTTTAACTCTATGAATAAACGATTCTGTATCCTTGTTAAGAATTTTGGAGAATTATTCATTTCTATTACTTCGGGGGAAGGTTGGATGTAAGGGGGGGGGGGTAAAATATCCCCTTTTAAATTCACTAGATTCATTATAAATACATACTTAGATCCAAAATGGTAAAATCTATCGCTTCTTAAAATAGTTAAGAAATATTTATTTCTATTTTTCTAGAGACTACAATAGACTTTAACAACACCAAGGCAACTTGTAAGATGATCATCTGCAGTAAATTGAATGATATGTTGACCTTTCCATAAAATACGCAATAACTTATCTAAAAAATACACAGAGTTGAAAATCTTTTATCTTAGTTGCAAGGAATTTTGCAAAGTGCTATTTATTTGTAGAAATCTACAAAGTGTTGGGGTTGGGGGTCCACAAGATCCATGTTTTTATTAGCCAGTTTGCTTCATTCCTCTTTTTAAGGGTTGGGGTTAAACAAGACAGGATAGTAGTGCATCTTATTCTCATCTTTAATACTTTATAGCTTTACATAATCTAAAAATCTGAAGAGGCTATGTTAGCAATGACTGGGACAGGAAGTTAATATCATAGTGCTCAAGTGCTTCTGTATCATAAATCTATCATCCTAACCACATCATCTTCACCTAGGTCTAAGTATTGGGTTCTCATACAACATTGTCACTTTTAAATACATGTACATGTATTATGAAATGCTATTAGAATATGCTGTCAAGTGGGTATTGCATTAAGTATCCAAATTAAAAGAGAAAATCTGCAGGGCATTAAGAGACCAGTGATGTTGAAGGTCATGCATTTTTTATGTACATCACTTACAAAAGAATGAAATGAGAATGAATATCCAGATTTCTTGTCTTCAATAAACTACATGTACCTGCATTCACTACAAAATGGCACAGGCACCAAGTGGAAGGATTCCTTTGATTACTTCAGTAATTATTTAACTAATACAAGTAGTCATCAAAAATTTGAACAAATAAAAGCCCCCCCCCCTGATTTTTCAAAGTTATTAAAAGTACATACTTCCAGTACTAAAGCAAATAAAAAATTATTTAGACCCCCCCCCTTCACAATATGTGGATCCCACCACCACTACCACAAAAATGATTTTTGTTTTTTTAATTACATTTAGAAAATGGATTTTAGGACTGGGTGCAGTTTGATTGTCAAGAAATTTCTGGGTTGGAAATTTTTTGACTGGGATGGACCCCCTGGATAAAAATTCCTAGATTTGTGCCTGACATCAAGAGATAGCATATTCATCTGTACCCTGGCTTAGTCAACGAAGCTCTAAATGCTTAGAATACTGTAGAAGCACAAATTTTCATGGGGATGAAATTTTGTTGATTTGTCATCAAAAATATTTTCGTGGGCATTTAATTTTGTTGTTTTGAAAGTAACCCCATTCAATATGTAGTCATATAAAATTTCATTTGAGATTTAATTTTGTTGATAATTATTAACAACAAAATACATGAAATTTAATCCCCTACAAATATTTGTGCTTTTACAGAAAATAAAAATTTTCAAAGAGGGAGGAAACAAAGTGTTCAATGTTGATGTTCCTTCTATTTGTGATCTTTAACAGAGTATTTTAAAACACAGAGATCAAATCAGGTACATGTAGATGTAAGTGATCTTTGTGATGTCACCTTCCTGGTTCAGAGGTCAATAATTTATAAAGAAGATCTAGAAAACTGTATCCTGACTTTAAAGCTTTCTTTATGTCTCAGTAAATATAACCCCTTGGGGTGGGACATCTTTTGTTACATTTTTTGAACAAATCAATTACTGTATTTTAAAGGTTTGAGTAAAACTAAAACTAGACAACATGCCAGTTTTATTTGCTCTTTAGAATTTGTAGTACTGGTGAATTTTGTAAGACGTACTGTCTCTCTACACTTTCAGCGTATTCGGAATAAAGATTTTGTTCATTATTCATTGAATATTGTGTAATGAGTCATTTAATGTCGTGTTTACAGACTTGTATTGTTTGTATTTTTTTTTAAACGTTGGTCAATTCTTGCTATCTTTAAATTTTCATTCATAGATGGAGAAACTGTCAAACAAAGCGCTGTGAGGGAAATTGCTCAAGATTTAGTTGTTTGATATATCTCTGTTTAAAAAAAAATGATTGTAATTATAATGACACATCTCACGTTTTTTTAATAAATGTTTATATTTGATACATGTACATCAGTATTCTCGAATAACATTTTAGTACATAAATCATATAAACTAAGATAAGTCATAACAATACTTTCGTTATGTGAAATAGAAATAAAAAATAGAAAGTATTTTTTCATTAATAAAACAATAAAATATTCATAAATTTTAACTTCCAAGATTATACATCCGTATGATGAAATCTGTAACAATTTAAAAGTCAGACTTTAATTTTAAGTTCATTTTTGGTACTAAATCTAAAGTACAGTGGGTATACATGTACATGTAACTAGAGCAGTAAACAACAAAAAAAGATCTATTTGGAAGTACATGTACACTACTACACTTATTCAACCAGTATTGCACAATATCACTTTAACAAGTATCAAATGAGCAACACAATGTTTATTTGAAAAATATACTTGTCTATCTGGACATAAGGCACCTGGTCCTTTCCAGGTTCATGTGTAGCTCTTAGGAGTTATTTACAACTAGCTGGTTCAGCACCAGAAAATTAGACAAAAGATGACAAGAAATTTAAAAACATGTTTACCCCGGTAAATATAAAAGAAGTACACAAAGATAATGAATATTACAATAATCATAAGTCAAATACATGAATTAAATATCTGAGATGATGAAATACAGTAAAACATGCTGATGACAAAGTACCAGGGAGGAACCATTTTGATTCAAAATTCTTTACATTCATTAAATTTACAATGTGTTTTAAAACCAAGTGGAATAATAAAATTCACTTCACTGTCAGTGTGAATTACAAAACGTGTATTCTCTATAAACATGTTTTACTGTAAGTAGATTATTAACAATCTATCAAAATCATAGTTTCAGGTTACAGGGTAAATTTGTGACAAGTAGGAGGAAAAAAAAATTTGGCAATACCCTGTGATTAAAATCCAGAGAGCACATGTAGAATGACCGAGTTTGAAGATAAATGTAGAAAAGTTGAACCTTAAGTTACCCTCTATGTGAAAAAATAAATTTCTTGACAATAATGTGTTTAGTTTTAATCAATTGAATGAAAAAATCTGCTTTATACATTTCTACATATAAACATATACTTAGCAAATTAACAATGGTGACTACATGGTTATATCATATACAGTTAGTAGAAACTATATGATTACCAATACATATACATGGATACAGAATTTTATGTCACTTTTTAATATTCATGTTAGTAAATACTACATGTAATACACTGGTGAAAATACTTGGTTACAATACAGACAATGGATGGAATATTACTACTGGAAAATAATCACTAACAGGGATAAAAATTCTACAGTGTAAATCCTAATGGCACGGATCAACAAACAAACAAAACTTGTATAAATCACACTACATCAAATTAGTACTGCTTAAGATAAAAAAACAAATAAATGTATCAATAATGCCATATTATTTCCATTCAATAAGTTTGTTTATAGTTACAGTATTGTCAGTTGGATTGTAATATTTTTTCCTCTTCAACACATTTCATTTTCATTTAATACTGTATGTACATCTTTGTCATATAAATCTAATACAATCAAAATTAGGATTTTTTTCAATTGATCAGAATTTCCCTGTTCACAATTTTGTTTCATTATGACCTTTTATCACGTCTTCATCTATAAAAATACAAATGGATTCACATATATTCAAAATGATGTTATATGACAGTAATTCAATTGTTCCTCTAGTTTCTAAAAATATTTTAGTTCATGTCTAGATCAACCTGCCCTTCAGTCAGTTTCCCCTTTAATTGAACAGCTTATGTACTTTTTCATTTAAACAGAGACCTTTCTGTTCTTCATATCAAACATTGTTCATACAGACAAGTGTGCCTTGACTATTTATAAAACTAAGAAACATTTATTAAAGGAAGGACTGAAAATGTAAACTTCAACTTATTATGAGGTTATAAGGTTGTAAAATCTTACTCAGTTTTTTGAAGATGAAATATCAAACGGAACATGTGAGGATCGAGCATGCCCATGGAATTCCTTTAAATAAATGCTGGTATGTTTAACCCCTTGTATTCCTTATTGTAATAGTAATATCAGATAGGAGCATAAATGTAAAAGGAGTGATAATTATAGATCAGTGAATACAAATAGCATGGATACACGAAAAAGGTATTTATGTCAAAATTATACAGTTGGTAATTAACATGCACTGATTACAGGCAAATACATGTATTCCAATAAGGCTCTATCCCTCCCCCCCCCAAAAAAAAAGCATACATGTAATATAATTCTTGGATAAGCAGTGTACTTGTATAAATAGTATGTGAAGAGAATCAGCATGGTATTATTATAAAATGTCATTATGCAGTGAAGTGTATACACTATAATAAATCAGTAACATAAACATAATGAAATCAGCTGTTCTAAAGGAGGATCTACCTCTATATAATACAATATACAGGAGAAAATAAATTTAAAGTTGTCTCAGAAAAAAAATTACCTGATAATCAATCAAACAAACAAAACAAGAAATCCCCTACTAAATATTCTTTAAAATATGTTATACCCATTCATTAGTTTCTTCTTTTTCACTTGTGTACATTGACTGATCTCTAATTTGACAAAAGGTATTTTCTACACAGTGATTATATTGAATTTGATAAATTTTAAAGTTAATGTGGTAAAAACATTTTTGTTACAGGGATACAAAATAATGTGTGTCTTTAATCACACATTCTGCATCATCTAATCCTAATCAAACTGGTTTTACAACACCCATTCACACTGTACTTGGTAGTTTTCATGCTACATGTAATTTCCTTTGTCACACTTTTCTACAGGAAAAATATCATGACAACCTTTATAGTTTATACTTTTGCAGTTATTAGAATGGTATGCAGCTAAAATTTGTTTCACAGTGCACAATTTTTATGCCAATCAAGATACCTGGCAGAATATCATGCAACTCATTGCATACACATCACTAACATTATATATGCAACTACACAATAAAATCTGTGTTGAGATTTTACAAGAAACATGACAAAGCTTATATTTCATGACTTACAGTTCTTCAAAGACAATTCTCATTTAAAATCTCACTTCTATTTCTTTATTAAAGATCAGGAGACTGTCTAACAGAAGAGAAATATGCATGTATACATTTTACTGAATTTTCCACAGTCAGTATCTTACTTTGTATCCAGTTTCTCTAAAAAGTCCACAAATTTTTCAAAATGTTTTCCTCCACTACAATGTCAAATGATAGCACAAGAAAATTGATAAGAGTCAACAGGCACTTAAAAATTACTGAAAATATTCATGAGTCAAAATAAAATAAATTCAGATCAAGAATGTGAAAATCTTGATACACAACACAAAATAGCATTAAAAAGTTCCATACCCTTGAAATATTGTCTAAAAATTAAAATTACAGGATATCTTATGTCCAGATAACTTAAAGTTCACTGTACATTTAATACAAAATTTATTTCAGAATTAGAAAAAAATAAAAAAATCCATTAAAAAAACTATTCAACAACTCACAACCAGTGTTCTTAACTTTAAACCTCTTCAAGAGGGTGGAAATGTTGTTCTATAAAAGACATCATTAAGATGAAAGACAAAACTAGCAATCAAAATGATCATAGATGTTCTTACATGTCTGTACATGTATTTAAAAGGATTAGGTAAAAATGGTACTTATCCATATCAAATTTTATGAATAACAAAAGATAAGAAAATAAACAATTCAAGAAGTAAAAAAAAAATCAAGAATTTGGTCCTCAAAAATGGGAAAATAAAATAAATGACCAAATAAGTATAAAGAAATACATACAATACATACAACCCTATTAAAATATCAAATACATGTACATATACATGTACATGTAAACACACATTTTGTACATTGAAAAAGCAGTGTATAAATCTACTGTGAATGAATTATGATTAACGAGTAATTAAGTACACATAAACAATTAATCCAATATAAAATCATCACTTTGTTCTCTGACTAGTGAGTTCCTCAAACTAAACAAATCCAAAAAAGCACCATACACTCCATTTCATATGAATCATGAACACTATTTCATCAAACTTTCTTAAGATAATTCTGTAACTGAGGGTGTATACCTTTACTAATTCTCAACAAATCAAAAACATGAAGCATTGAACCTCATCAAATTATATAATTTTTCCAAAAGCAAAATTCAATACAAGCTTATGTAATTTTTTTGTGCTGCAATTAAAATTTCAATGGAAGATGGCACACTGTAAAAATTCTTGGTGTATTACAGCTATTTTTCTTTAAAACTTATCAATATTTTGAAAAAGAATGAAAATATCTTCTCTCTGACATATAGAAGTAGGACTTGTTGTATTGACATGTGTTTACATATCGTCTCCATTTACACTGTCCTCTACCCTATATTGTGGTTTCTCTCCTCATTGCATCACCTTCCCCGTCCACTTGAATCTGCTCATTTCTACGAAATGTTAGATCACGCCCAGGACAAAACTTGGGCCTGAATAAAGTCAGTATGTATAGTAACACACAAACCCAACTAGAGGCCATTTTGACCCACACTGCTGCCCAATTTAGTCCAAATGTGTTCAAATCTGATTCCTCTGGTCTGAAATAAAATTTTATCATGCTTGTACTGGAATTCCCCTTTTGCAGTTAAAAAAAAAAACTACTGGTACCCCTGCCAACTCTTTTTTCCTAGTCAATATTACAATTTTTAGTCTATTTAACATGAGTTAGAATGAAAACCTGTACATTTACACTTGAATATATACCAGATTCGAAAAAAAAATGTTCTTTATATTATACATGAACTTCCATCTCATTAACTGAAGACACAAATATGCTTGGTGCCATCAAACTTTCTTACAATCTTTGTTTCAATCTCCATCATTAAACTACAAAGATGGTAACCTAACAAATAACAAAATCTCAAAACAATATTTTTAAAAACCTAGTTACAAAAAATATTGTTTCTCTAACTTGAAATCACTTACCTGTACCAATTGGTGAGCTGCATCATAACATATAAACTTGCCAAGATGAAAACAAAATGGAAGAAAGCATAATTGTAAGTTGTAGCATCTGCTTCATTATAATTCACCCTCTGTCCTCCTTTCTCTGAATGGTTTATTTCTGAACAAGGAAAAAAAGGAATCTGGTTTGAATAATAGGTTCCCTTCAAGATTTATTCAGATTATAACAAAACTGAACAAGGTGATTACATTCATTTTTTTACATAATGACTGATTTCTAAACTAAAATAATTTGAAATCCAACGTGCAATTGCTTAATTTGTAATCAATTCCGGCATACTTATAACATTTGACCCAAATAATAAAATAAACTGAACAACATTTAGATTGCATGCCCATGAATTTTCCCCACTAAAGTAAGAATCATTTATTTCTGTTCTCTTTTTTGAAAATTTTTCTAAGGATTAAGCTGGTGCCTTTTTTATACACCCCTCCCCCCCCCTGAAAAGTGGAAGGGTATATAGTGATCGGGATGTCCGTCCATTACGCTTTGGGGTACCTATCTCTTATCCACAACTCCTCATACAACTGAATGAAATTTAATGAGACTTTCACAGAAGCTTTGTTACATAATGCCCTAATGCCTCTTTTGAATATTAACAAGTTAGATGCATAGATAAACAGGAAGTTGATACCAGATTCAAACAAAAATGAATCCCACCAAATGGTATGCCTCAGCAAAGAGTGTGCTAAAATTTCAAGCATCTGCAATGAGTAGTTGTGGAGAAAACTTTGTTACTAACAGACACACAGACAGACAGACATACAAGGGTAAAACAGTATACCCCTCCTTTGCAGAGGGGGTATAAAAATCTTGCACAATATTCTCTTATTCTATTTATATCTTTTAATTACATTACATGTACCAGAATTTAAAAGGTTTAATAATTGTACTTTAGAGCAAAAGGGGAATAACTTCTAACAGAAGTATACAAATTAATGAAGCGTTGGCCAACAACATAACACAAGACCAAGTGGTCCAAAATATCAAAAAGCTGGTAAAAATACCCATACTTATTACAACTATTACACTGTTTGCTTTCTAGAAGGCCCTGAGCCGAGAAAAAAGATTTTCAAAGAAATTAAACCTATTTACTATAGATAAAACGCCAGAATCCATGACACAGGGTCATGAAATTCACAAACTGAAAGAGGTACCCTTGCTGTAAAAGATTTTCAAAGAAATAATGCATTATTTCTGTCATTTTCTAATGCATTTTGCCAAGCAAAAAAAGGAAATGTCACAAACAACAACCCATTATTAATTCTTAAAAAATGAAACCAGTAAAAATAGTCCATTTTTAAAAATTCCTTTTAAAATTTTCTTCAATTTTTGAGAATCCTTGAGAATATGGTCTAATGAAGATACTTAAAAATGAAATGTGATTCTATTTTCCCTAGTTAAATGTGATTATATTCCCCCTTAATTAATTGTGATTCTGCCCCCCCCCCTGATTAAATGTGATTCCATCCCCCTTTTAATCAAATGTGATTCTCGAGCCTTTAAACTGATTCAATTGACGTGTTTCCTTACTTCCTGTGACTTTACAGCAGCAGCAGCACTCGTAACGCTCCGCCACGGCTGCTGCTGCTCTCCTCACCCCCAGACGGTGCGACGCAATGGATGTTTGTAAACTGCCAAAAAAGAATTAGTTACCATACTTTAATACAGAGATAGAAAAAGTCAATAGGAATATGAGAGCAAACTGAATATGTATGATCAGCATATTCTTAAGTTTATGAAGGTTTGAGATTTTTACCTTGAGTAGATGGCTACGACCAACATTATCAACAGGCCAGCATAAGCTGAAATCATTTCCATGTGGTCAAATGTAGGCTTAGGACGACACTGAGTACCATTTGTGATGGACAGACTGTGAATGTTGCGCATATCATCCAGCCCGTCCATGTACATTGGCATGTCCTTGTCTGGCATTTTCTTATCCACTTGTTTTGAGTAGAACACTCTGATAGTATTCTCCAGCTCCACAACTAAAACATTAAAGTAAATCAGTTACTCTGCTACGATATACATAGCATTAATATTAAATTGGACTTCTGGGAAATTATTTGATGATTAAATAAAAGAGTGTGAAAAGCAAGTTTTGCATACATGTAATTTGATTTAATACTTATAAAGTGCTCAATAGGAAGCTATAAAGTGAGAAGAGGATTTAAATGTTGTAATTAACACTGGAGTTTACACAGAGAGAGAATCTTACTGTCTTCAGGTGGCTCACTGGACAAGGCCGTCCAGGTAAGATACATCACATAGAACGTAATCACAGAGGCCTGCAGAATACCAGTGTTAGGGTTGACTGAAAAAATATTGTTGTTTGATGGTTTACAATTAGGTCAATGTTTTCAGTTTGTAATCCATAGATTACATCTGTATTAATGAGATGCGGCTTATTTCATTTTCATCCATTACATGTACATAACATGTGCAAACATGGATTAAAAAATCCCAAGCTCTCTCATTATTCATAAAATGATTTTCTTCTCTCTCTCTCTCTCTCTCTCTCTCTCTCTCTCTCTCTCTCTCTCAAATCTATACTTCTACTTAGTGCACTTACATCTTGCCACACCAGGTACAATGGTTATTGCTGATAAGATAATACAGAGAACCGTGTTGACTCCTATAAAGATCTTATTATGAAGGCACCCTTCCCAGGTGGTGTAATTCCAAAACAGTAGAAAGACAGCAGCAACGCTGGCCAAATAGAAAATGACAGCAAACAGCAGAGTACCTAAAAAATGATAGAATTCAGTATTCAGATGATTGTAATGAGAAAGTTGGATAAAAGATTAGTCTGGGAGAATTTGCATCTAACAATGAATTGTGAAAAAATTACATATAGGTCAATGAAATTAAAATTAAATGTTTTCAATCCACTACATCTTCTCAAACTGTTGTTTAATGATCAAGAAGAAGAAGCAGCTTTAAAACATCTAAATTATTATTTTATTTATCATAAATATCAAACAATATGCTTTTTCTAATTATTAGGCAATAGAAAAACTCTCTTCATTAGGCAATAGAAAAACTCTCTTCAATCATATCTTTGATATAACATATTTACCTAAATTAATGCAGTACTTACTTTTAAAACAATGAATTATTGATAATCACATTTACAACAGGTTACCCAAATACATGTTCAAAATGTATAATATTTTGTCTCATTTTATCTGCTACATATATGAAAGTAATTCTCAATTACCAATATTTAAAAATTTTCTTTGAAACATCTTGTCTTGTTTAATCTTTGATCAGCATAGGATCACCCCGACAATAGATGAAAAATACTATTTACAAATTTCAATGTCAAAAGTCAAGACTCATCTAAAATATCCTTTGTGCATAAGATTAAAATAAAGGCAAAGGGTCTTCCCTTCCAGAAAAAAATCTTAGCAATTTCAAAGCCAAAGGTCAATCCAAGGCTAATTATGTAAATATTATTCATTTCACCTGACAGCCAACTTTATGATGGCTATATATATAATCAAATTATAATAGTGAATTGAATCCTCAGCCTTATATATGTACCACAACGTCCACAGGCACTCTTTCTACCAGATTTTGTACCAACCCTACAATGAGAGATTGTGATGATTTTCCATCAAATTTCAAATAGGCCAATTCTTAAGAATTCTTAATCTATGTAATATGTACATATAAATGTTTTTTTTCCCAGGAATTGGAAATATAATATTCTCATTATTCAGAAAGTACAAGATTTTTTTTTGCAAAGAAAGAATATGTAACAAAAGGATAAAATGAGAATATATTCATTTTAGGTAATAAATTGCTATTGATTAAATTGTGTCTTGTAACCACTTGACTTTTGCCACGCATGGTCACCGATTTTATGAAACTTCACCCATGCTTATACTTGTCACCAGAAACAAATATCAAACAAAAGTTCGTTGCTAAGTGTCTCGGTTGCTATGGCAACAGCCGGAAAAGTTTGGATTTTCAGCCACATAAATCCTGACTGTGGCTTAATAAAAACTAGAAAAAGCAAACAAACCATTCTAACAAAAACATGACAATTGTCACTTATACTGTGAAGAAACTGGTTAGAATATATCCTAAGTAAGTGGTAAAATACATTTGGAATACATTAAAAATGCTGAAATTTGCTGAAAAACACTCCATATTCACTAATGGTAGGTGTTACATGCTAAAACTCAATCATTGACTTAAGAAAAAACAATGAAAATGTTTGACCTTAAGTATACAAGTATAAGCAATATTATTATGTAAATAACTTTATGGTTGCCATGGTAACACAGTGTAACCATGCAAAACCAGTAACTAAGATTGGGTTAATGCTACTGTCTTGAGGAAAAACATGAAAATTCAAGACTGGCAAATATGCATCCTTAGGCCCTTGCAACACCAAAAGGAATAAGAAAAATTGGGTATAATTGCTACTTTGTAGTGTTACCATGGAAACAAAGTACCAGTGCTTAAAAGTTATTGTTTCCGCTGCATTAAGAATTAAATTGCCATTTAATCAAGAAACAAATTAAAGAGCTCAGCTGGAAAGTCTTATCTGTTAAACTGAAGTTAAATATCATATATTGATAAAATTTGATGAATAAAACAACACTGTTGCTATGGTTACCAAGAAGGGAAAATGTTCGATTTTTTTAAACTTTATATCAATATTAAACCCTGTGTGCCAACTTCTTGCATCCACTTAGAGATTGCATGATAGTCAAAATTAAAAGTCAAGTTAGCTGTTAATAAATATCAATCATAAAAGTTTTGGGAATCTACATTTAAGGCCACCATTCCCAAGGAAACAAAATATTTTTCAGGTTTTTAAGCATATATTTTCTGCTTATTTCCATAGCAAAGCTCTATTTAAAGAATCTAATCTGAATTTTTTGAAATAGGAAAATTTGGAGCACACCAACATCTTATAAAATTGATCATTAGTTATGATGAAATGTGCTTTTTTTTTAAAGATAGGATCATATTTAAACATACATAGTGTTACTTTAAAGAGCATAAAAATTTGCCTACCAAAATGAAATATCATATTTTTTCTTGGTATGTGTTTCAAGTCTTTTTTCTATTATTTGGTAACATTTCATCCTAAATGCTTTTCATTTTTACGAGTATGACTTCATAAAATTCAATGAATATTTTTTTTACTTTTGAATATTTTGTTACCATAGTAACGTATGTAATAGTTGATTTACCAAACATGTTTATAATGCATTTGAGACATCTTACCTTCAACTTTTGGAAACAGTCATTAACAATTGTTTGCTTTGCCGCAAATGTTAACTATGGGGCTCTAAACATGTTAAAAAATGCCATTTTTCGAACTTTAAGACATGTTGCCAAACTATAAAACAAGCAACCAATTTTTGCCTGATTTCAGTTCAGGGTATCAAATCATAGAGAGTTTGGAGAAATTCTGAGACTATGCGTGCCACAGCTCCTATATAAAATTTCAAATCATTACAGAGAATGGCTCTTAAATTGTGTATTGAATGACTGATCCATTAGAATTATGAAAAAAAAAAGATTGTTCACAAAGGATTCATTATCTGAAATTGAATTGTTATAATCTACCGTAAAATACAGCTTGAAATTATAATTACAAAACTTACCACTTAGCATTCCAAGAATGACAGAAGTCCACCAGCAGTATCAGCTGGAAAATGATGAAAATCACGCCTCCTACCATCCCCACATACATCCAGTCTTCACAGGAAGAGAAAGCATCAATAAGATCACTCAGAATTACAGTGAAAATAACATTCAAATTTATATACTAACAGTAATGGAATCAGAAGTTAACAAGTGGGATGGGGTGTTTGAAACTACACTACCTGAAAATACATCTGTATTGCTTTGACATATCCTGGCTTTACTGGTCATGACAAGAAGATTATTAAAAGATATTTCTAATCAAAAATTAGGGCTGGGATGATACAACTTTTTCTATAACAATACGTATTTATCACGATATTTGAGCCACGATACAATATGTATCACAATATGTTGAATCAGTTATAAAATCGTTTTTTGCATTGAAGTAAACAAAATATGTCTTTGCAAATAAGAATACCCGATAATATATTCAAAATAGTTGACGCATATGTTTATTTTACTCAAGTGGTGTTAATTATTATTTATTTCATATCTATATTTATATCTAGCTTTTTTTTTTTTATTAAACCCCAAATGTAAATAAACAAAGAAAAACAGATGTCAGAATTTTTTGTGATATTTCTTCATATGTATCGTTATGCATATCCTCCTCATACAGAATCGATATTATTGATCTAAGGAATCACTGTCTAGTTAGTATAGTATGCCAGGGCATCAACAAAAGTGGGAAACATGGTATAAATTGCATAATGGGCAAAGGCCGTAGGCGTTATGCATAAATTATCCCATGTGTTTCCCCATCTTCGCTAGCCACGGGTTTCTGATACGCTTCTCTCCTCATAAACCCTTGGCATACGGTGAAGTCAATAGACGGGATTGTTTTCCGTCACGTGATCTTGAATCTATCAGGTACGCACAGATTGCGTCATCGCCAGAAATAAAGACACATGTTAAAAAATATTAAATCAAAGTTTTTTCAGGAATAATTAAGAAGCAATAATTGAGTTATGTTTATTCATTATTTATAGAACAAATCTGAAGCTTCAACATGTTCAATATAGATTCTTAATCACATATTTAGAAGATATTGGATGACACCGCGGCTATTATAGAATTGAATGTTAAGATCGTTGTTTACTTGCGTTTTTCATTTCCGAGATTAAAGAGTGAAGATGTATCCCGATCGCAAATATTGTCATTTACAAAAAACAATTGCTGATTGGTCGACCTGATGTACTGAAATCCAATCAGAACTCTGGAAAAAAAATCTCAATTTCTATGAACACCGTAGGCCAAGGGTTTATGAGGAGAGTAGCGTATCAGAAACCCTTGGCTAGCAAAGATGATGTTTCCCACTATTGTTGATGTCCCTGGCATACTATACTAACTAGACAGTGATTCCTTATATTTCCATTTCATTGTAAAATAAATTTGTAGATTTAGACTTTAAAAATGCAGACATAGATTTAAATTACACGAGGATGCTCATCCCAATTTCAATAGGCCTCGCCAACTGACGTCAAACACAACGGCAGCCACACAAAATTTTTATGCATATTTGGCCTCCTTAGCGTCCGACTCAGAGACAGATGCACACAAGATTTGCATGCATACTAGGCCTCCTTAGCTCGTGACCTATCGACCTGCCTAATTTACATTTCGGCAGAATTATCAGGAAATCAACTCCACTTACTTTCAAAGGGTTATCATAGAGAAAAAATTTAGAAATGGAAATATATCTCAATATATCGTCCCAGCCTTATTAAAAATGTTTGGATATAGTCTTCTTTATTCAAAATGTTGCCAATAAGACACTTGTAAAAACATTACTGAGTGGTGGAAGGTCCTACACACCCTTTAATATACCACTGTAGTGGACTCGTGGTAATGTACTAAATTACATGGAATCCTACTACTCTAGTGGGTTAATGCTAACCTACTGATCCATCCATTTCCCTCTAAATTAAAGGTCAAGTTTGGGAAAACATAGATTTTTGAAATTATTCTAGTACAATTCTAGCACAATTCATTTAACACTGTGACCTCCTGTACTTACAAAGTCTGTATGTGTGAGGCATAAAGAAGGAAGCAACAAGGCAACCAATGAAAAACAGGATCTTCCAAAACCAGTACCTGGTCAAAAAAAAGATATGCATGTCTACATAAGTAAACATAAAAAAATAATTTACAATCCAGGTTTGTTTGTATGTGTAACAGTATTGTATTATCCATGGCATAAATAAAATATGTCAATTTAAAATAATGATATAACCGAATGAATTTTAAATATTGAAACCTTTTAATAATTCCAAGTTTATCTACTTTAAATCATAAAATGATAACATCTTATTAGATGATGAAGCTTCATCTTCATCAGGACTGTTAATGAGCGGAGTTGAAGGGAAGCCTTACCCATTGTGTATCCCTCCACGGCAGTAGGAACTGGAGTCCACACAAATAGTGAGTAAACACAAAATGAAATGAAAGGCCACCATTCCCAAACACAACCGATACACGGCTTTATACCCTGTAAGTTTACTGCAGTTCTCCCCAGCCATTAATTGTACACAGGTCTCATTGAATCCAGGCACCTACAACCATATTGATTACTTAATATACATTACTGATAAAGACTTAAAAGAAAGTCTTATTAGTGGTTAAGAAAAAGATTTGTATTTGTTTAAATCATCAACACTTGATAGACACATAAATATAAGGTAAGAAAAATTCATTCATAATATTCTTTTACTGGTAATGTGCAGTCATACAGCAGATTCTCATTCTGGAGAAAGGACAAACAAATTGCAGTGAAGTTTACACTACTTACATTATCAATGACTGCTTGCTCTAGCTGAAGTTTACACTACTTACATTATCAATGAATGATTGCTCTAGCTGAAGTTTACACTACTTACATTATCAATGAATGCTTGCTCTAGCTGTGGAGATAACATGAGGGATGCCACAACAAATCCAATGACCAGGAATAGAGTGTACATGAAGCGTGTTCCTGTTGACTCGTTGATCTGAGGCAGACATCGGCAGCAGAGACCACAAGATGCTGGCCCAAACCAACACCTCATCTACAAGTCATAGCAAATAATGAAGTTCAGAGACCACAAGATGCTGGCCCAAACCAACACCTCTTCTACAAGTCATAGCATATATTAAATGAAGTTCAACTGCATGTATAAAAAAAAAAAAACATTATATATACCGTATATACTCGCCTGTAAGTCGGTATTTTGGGAGTTAAATTTTGGTCTAAAACTGTATGTCCGACTTACAGGCGAGTCATTAAATAATCATTATTTTCTGGAAGGCGAAATGCACTTTTTTATTGGCATATCCAACGAGTATCGAAGTCTGGTTATATGTATGCATACTTAGATTATACAAAAAGTACAAGTAATTGCATATTTAATTATATATTTGTATTTTAATTTTAAATTGAATGCCATTAAATTGTTTTTATTATTTTATACATAATTCAATGTAATATAGCTGTAAAGTACGGGAAATTGATTATGTCGTCATAATGGATATTTCAGCTAGGCAACAGTTAACTCTGTGGCCCGGAGTCTTAGGGAGTTCGACTGTTTCATGATCATGCAAAAGCATAAAGTGAATCGTGAAACAGTTCAGAATGCTTAATTACAATTTATATAGTAGGTTAGGTAATAATATTAATTGTTGCTAAATATACAGGTCCAGCACAATACCCCGATAAAGGTATATAGCTTGATAAAGCTATATACCTTTATCAAGGTATTTAAAATACAATGATCAAGGTATTTTATGTAATGAAAATTCAAAAAAATTCTTTAAAAATTAAATACTGAAAGTCGAGTTCTGAGTTTTTGTCAGTGTGTCTACTCGCACATGAAAAACA